TATATTTTGATAATTTTGTGATCTGATATAAAACAAGAAAAAATCTTGTTCTTCTTTATTTTAAATTAGATAGGGTGTAGTTCCACTCATTATGATAAAACACATCTAAGTTACAAGGTTTGTTGATACCCTTGAGAACGGCATAATTATATGGAGGGCGGGCCTACATATAAATCATATGCCCATGACCTACGTGCTAGATAAGATAAGATTAATTTTTAATTATAATCATAATGTATTTTTAATATTACATAATAGCCCTTTAATATTATATAATTTACTTTATTGAAGGCTCTAAAATAAAAACGGATCTTTCTTTACTTTAAATTTTTTTGACATACACTCTACCTAATATTTGTAGAAATTCCTAGAGTGGACCAACAGTTATTAAAACTTTAAATATAAGTAAGAGAGATTGGGTTTAGTCGAACCGATTTTTACAAAATTGGCTATAACCCCTGTTTTTTTAGATAATATAAATAATATATGAATAGACACTTAAAACTATGCTCTATAAAGATGCCTTATGAAATATTTTAAGAATATAATCATTTTTTTTAAATTTTATTTTTTGTAAAAGTGAAAATTTTGTCCAGCAAGCCCCAGCGGGGTGGGAAACCACTTCAAGAGGCTTCCTTAACCATTAGTTTTTTAGGCCATAGTAAATTGAAATGTTTAGAATAGTTTTATCGTTTTATTGTTCAAAATATACTTGAAGCTAATCATGTATAAAAATTGAAAAATTTTGGTTAATTTAATGATTTGGATATAAAAAATAAGGATCTTAAGGAGAGATTATGATTTCCTATTATAAATCCTAAATACCAATCATAAACAGCCTGAAATTGCCTTTTCAAGAGAAATTTTATTATTTTAAATAATTAATTATTTAAAAAGATTTTTTGTCTATAGATGTAAACTAATAAAAATTATATTAGGATAAAATTTTCTGGATTGCCAAACCCCGGGGTTTACCTAACCCTAGTTTCCTCTAGTATGTATTAAATCTTATATTATACCAAATCTTATATTATACCAAATATAAAGTATTTTATTTTTTAGTGGGCAATAACTTGAATAATAGCATAAAAACTAAAATCCGATTATTTTTCGTTTAAATATACCACGAAGAATTTTAAAGTATATCAATTTAATGTAATGATATCATATTTAAAAATTATACCGGGCCCGAAAATTTAAAAAATATTATACCCAGCCCGAACCAACATTATATAAAAATATTAGTGTTGTTAAACGTCTCGATTTGAGCCGATTTTTAAAATCGGCTAACTCAACATTATAGCGAGGAAAATATTGCTTAAGCGTCGAGATTTCCCTAAAAGATGTTCAATCCTATGTGCCAGTGCCATCTATGAGCAAAATCTTTAGGCTTGCATAATATTTTTCTGGATAAAATATTGAGTTAGCCGTTTTTAAAAATCGGCTCAAATTGAGCCGTTTAACAACACTAGAAAATATACCCGGGCCAGGTGGTGTTTTACAGATCCCTAATAGGAATACAATTTTTTATGCTACTCTATACTTTGTAAATGGTTCCAGATTCATCGTCTAAAAATGGATATAAATATAAATACATCTGTGATGCAAAATATTCCCATGAGCTTATTTTTAAAAATGGTCAACTAAATATTTTCCAAAAAAATTACCTAGCTTGAGATTTCTAGTTATGAGCAAAATCTTCTGGCTTGCATAATATTTTTGATGGATAAATTACTGAGTTAACCATATTTATAATTATAAATACATCTTTTAAAAACGTATCTACAAACCGATACATCAACTATTAAATATCAATACAGAAACTGACTTAAAAAATTTATTGAGCTGATATCGCATCTATATACAAATATATATATAATTAAGATAAATGATTGTTAGATTTTAATGTTCTGAGCCCATAATTTGGTTGTAAATTTTACGACTAAGCAAATTAACACTATACATAAGTCATTTTGAATTTTAAAATATTTAAATTCTCGAACCATAGTGGTTAAATTTTTTAAATTTTTTATCGTGGAGTAAATAATAATAGCAGGCGGATTCAAAATAAATTTTTTCCGACTCTGAAGCCGACTCATCGAGTCGACTCATGCGGCTCATTGAGCCGCTCAATTTGAAATAAGTTTTGCGACTCCAACTTGAGTTCAAAGTCTTAAAAACTCGACTATTTAACAACACTAGCCGATTCTGAAGCCGACTCATCGAGCCGACTCATGCGGCTCATTGAGCCGCTTAATTTGAAATGAGTTTTGCGACTCCGACTTGAGTTCAGAGTCGTAAAAACTCGACTATTTAACAACACTACCCATATCCCCTTTGATGCTGACCACCCACTCCCTTCAGAAAATTAGGAAACAAACTGCTCTCACCCTCTAGCTCATGTAGACTCTAATTTAATAAAATTTCTGATGGAAGGTATAATCATTTTTAAATTCGAGAAATTATCTTGGCTGCACGTATACAATCCACCAAAGTTGAATTGTATTTAATTAAATATATAGCCAATCCATTCTTAACGATGAAAGATTAACCGTTAATATATCTATATCTATATATATAATATATATATATAGGAAGGAAGGAAGGAAATATATATATATATACTGAACACAATTTATGTTTATATTACAAAGTCTTCTAATTTGGGAAGGGTAAAAAAGAAAATGGTTATTCAATATATATGATGCTATTGTTATTTGAACAAATTTGATGGGGTTCTGATTTCCTTTTTTTGAGTAATTTGGATCTGGCAAAAAGGAGGTAGAGTAATTTTTGGAGAGGGGTAGGGGTAAATAGTAGTGTTGTAAACGAACGCGTTCAAAATGAACGCGTTCGTGAACGAAGTTCGTTTTTTTGAAAAAAGGTGATGAACGGCGTTCCTTTTTTTTTGACGAACTTTGAACGTGAACGCGTTCCTTTTCTTTTATGAACGCTTTCAATTTTACGTTCGTTCAATTTTAAAAACACTTTTTATTTTTATTTATTTGAAAAATTAATATTAATCCGCATTTTTTAACAAAAAAGTCTTATATTTTTATTTATTTGAAAAATCAATAATTAATCTAATTTTTTAACAAAAAAGTCTTATATTTTTTAATCAGCTGTTTTTACTTTTTCCTCTTTCATATTGCAATTTACTTACCATAACGTGCTACTGCTAGAGAAGATAAGATTAAAGTTTATTAATTGCATGGATATAAATATTTCATCATCAGATTCTGAAAATCAAAATTCAATATTAGATGAATTAGTATTACCATGGCCCAAATATCATAAATATTTCACTGTTTTAAAATCAAAAGGTAATTCAATAGTTTTTAGTATAGCTAACGCTGTATTAACTGCCAAGCGTTCATGCCTATCAGATGAAAATTTTAAAAAGCAATTATTATTAAAAATTAATAAGAAAAATTTTTTATGAATTCATTTTTTTATCGCTCTATTATATTGTATTTATAATTATATTATCAAAATAAAACTATTATTTTTTATCATGGCTAATATATTTTGTTGAAAAATATAAGGCATTTATTTATATTAAATTAAATTTAAAAAAAAATTTATCATAAAATTTTGAACGCATGAACGCGTTCATGAACTTTAAGGCGTTCCTTTTTTTGAATTTGAACGTACGCGTTCGATTTTTGTCAATGAACGTTGAACGCGAACGCGTTCGATTTTTTTAAAAATGTTTACAGCACTAGTAAATAGTAAAATTTTGGAGTAGTATTGGGCAAAATATAAAATTCGGAAGGGGTGGATGGAAACGTATGAATATACATTTTATTTAAACAAATTCAATATTTGATATAAAAATTATATATATTAATTCAAATCAAAGGCTATATTATAAAAATGCTTACACAAAATGAATTAATTTAATTTCAAGATTATTTTTATAGTCCTGATTTAATTATATTTTACATATATAGATATATATGAATGATCTAACTATTTTCTTGAATGTGATCATTAGGTTATATACATCTGAATTCATAAGACATAAATAATCGAATCCTTTATATTGATTTTGAAATAGAACACGAGAAAAAAGGAATGGTTTTTGACAAATTGCTATATGATACAAAATTATTATGCTATTTTGATTTAATTATGTTTATCTTACTTCCTTTACAATATAGATTATCCCATGTATGGATATAAAAACTAGCTTTCTTGATAAGTGATTGCATTTGCATTGGTTTTTTAAATATTTAACCTTATGTTTATTTCTAGGTTCTCTGTCTCACAATGCTAAATAAATGTAAAATACACATAGCCAACAGGGGCGTCACTAGCATTTACAATTCAGGGAGTTTAAAAATTATTTTCAAAATTACCTTTTTTTAGCTAATATTTTAAAATAAAAATTACATTTGGTGAGGGAGTTTTTAAATTTTTGAGCGAACTCGAGCAGGCGCCCCCTTCCACCCCCTAATGATGCTACTGATGGTCAACATAACCTTTTAATAATCAAATTTTTATTTGATTTGACATGGGTATTTTTTTACCTCCTCTTATTTCCCATTGGACGATTAAGTGGCTTTGCCTCTTAGGCGCACAAGTAACTGCGGCCTGCCAAAAAATCGTGGATAGTCCTTCTCTTAATTATTTTAGGCTTTTTTAATTCCTATTTGATAGGTTTGCATAGTGAACTGATCGTTGCTCTGTTGTATATATAACATTGATCATATCATTGATTAACTATTATATATATATAATCCATAAGGCTAAGCTCTTAATATACATATCACGTATGAATCCTCAATTACGTATTATTTCTATTTTTTATTCATTTATAAATATTGTATAGATGCTTACAGTCCAAGAATCTTGAAGGTTTATGAAAGAGATTTCATTTTTTTCAAATTTTGACCAATCAAATTTTTCGCTTTGCTAATCGTTCAAGTCGTGTGGCCTTATTTATATCATAATTAATCGTTATTTGGTGTGCATATGCATTTTGCATGATGGTTTACGCTTATTTTTAAAATGATAATATTTGGTAGATTGTCGTTTGTTATAACTGAGCTATTGTTGAATAATATATCAATTATATTTATAATCTTTTGCTTGACATATACTTTATGGAATAGTATAAAAGTAAGTAGTGAAAAATATTATTTAATCAATATTATTCATCCACTAACTTTATTTAAAAGAATTAAAGATTAGAGTGATAACAAAAAATTTAGATATAGTAATGATAAATAAAATATTAAATACTTTCAAAACAATTCAAATTACTTCATAATGGTTTCTAAATTATATAAAATTAATTTAAATGGTAAGCATAGCTTGAGATATTTTATTTATTGGCTTTTTTTAGATTATTATGAGTCAATTAAAAAAAAATATGTCAGTTTAAAATATCAAAATTAAAAACAAGAACAAACTAATATGTATTTATAAACCAAAATGAAGTAATCTAAATTTGTTACAAAAAATTAATAACTAGTTTTCACATTTGAAAGTAGGGTGCCACTGGTATTGCTACTTTACAAAAAGGTAGCATGCTGCTGTTACCATTATTTTTTGAAAGTATACAATTTTAAATTACTGTATTTTTAAAATATACTTGTTGTCTGAGGATTTTAGTTACATATCCATTTTTTCAACTTTACAGGAAAAATAAAATCTTTTTTAAATTTACCTGTTATATTTTTAATAAAATAAAATTCAAAATTTATTTCTCAAATTAAACTAATATAATATTCTTATAAAACTTGCTTTTATATTTTTTTAATTAAATATGTGAATATTTATTTTTCAAATATTTTAATCAATGGCAATTCTAGATAAAAACAAATTTTGAATATATTAACTTAAAAATTAAGTTCTTATGTGATTTAATATGTTTATAAATAATTCACATTTTTGTTTACTTAAATTAAATATTTAATTTATGAATCTTGGAAAAACTATTGAATGCATAAGTATTTCATTTTAGTAATATAAGTAATCTTATCATTTAATAATCAGCTTAATATATATATATATATTTTTATATCCTTCAATGTTCTTCTTTCTTGCTCTTCTAATTTTTATGATAATTCATTGTTTTATTATGATGATAGATTAGCATTTTTATTCTTTTTGTTTTTGGTCATTTCAATCATTACTAAATTTTTTTCAATTAACCCTAAAATAGGCAACAATGTTTATAACATTATAAATTTATTTTTTTAAATGATTTATATATAAATTAGTCCTCCTTCATGTAATATCATCCCCTCCCCCTATCCCCCAATTAAAAACTTAAAAATATATATAATCTTAATTAGAGATAGTGTTGTTAAATGGCTCAATTTTAAAAAAGGCTAATCCAATGTTTTAATCAAAAAATGTTATGCATCCTTAATAAATCTCCAAACCTTTCTTCCATCTATGAGTAATATCCCCAGTTTTGGGTAATATTGCTAAAATATTGGGTTGGCCATTTTTAAAAATGAGCCGTTTTACAATTACTAAAATTAGAGATCTGCAAATCATTGTCGGTTCTAAGTTCGAGCCTACCCACATTAGATTTTGTGCTGGGTCTATTTTTAGAAAATAATTTTGGTCTGGACTGGACCTAATATTTTTTTTAAATAAGTTGGAAGGGGTTGGATTGGGCTTAAATGTTTAAATATGATATCATAATATTTTGTTAATTAAATTGATATATTGTAAAATTCTTGCAAGGAATAATGTTCTAATATTTTTATTTGTAGAATATTTTTTTACGATAAAAAAATTAAATTATCTATATTTAAATAAATTTCGGATGGGCCAGGTGAACAAATAATTTTTAAAATTTTCCTATCCTAATTCATAAAATTAAGTAATTTAAACAGATGGTTATTATAATGCTGAGCTATTATTGGATAAAACACAGTAGGAAGAAGGATATTGACAAATTAGACAGGTTTTTTGAAAAATTTTTGGAAATTTAATTAAAAATATAAATAATCAATGTTTCTCAATTTTAAAATTGTCTGCATGTAAACTAATAATTTATGGGAGTCTTCATCTGATGAAAGGAAATTGGCAACCCTGCTTCCATTTAACTTGGATTTGGGCCATATCAACAAAAATTTTCTTATTACCTTGCAAATTTGAAAAATCCAAGTTAGTCATGGCCTGCTTCTAGTTTGTTGGCCCATGACTTCAAAATCTAGAACCCAATTCACTTAATATGAGTCAGTTCTTTGCACATGTACATACTATTCCAGTCTTTTCTCTTTTATTTTTCCATTGTGGGAGCTCTACCAATCATCTTTCTTAGGCTATCATTGGTCATACGCAGCTAGATGTAACCAAGGCTCTATCATCCCATCCACATTTTGCTACATTCAAAATCTTCTTCGCAGCTCACAAGCCCAAATTTCACACCAAACAACAAAACCGGTCTGATGATATTTCAATAAGCCTTACCCTTAAGCAACAATGACATTTATATCATAACTTCTCCATTCCATTTTATACAGTCTGCAGTATCCTACCATTTAACCCATAATGACAACCTTTATCTAATGAATTATAGACCCAAGATTGCTAAACATTTCAACTTTTTGGTATGGAGCAAGTTGCATTTGTCTTTGACACCGATCTGCAATGTTAGTTGTCAGTTGCACTATCTTAGAAGAGCTGTTGCAGAGGTCATATTTCTCCAACCTAACTGCCCAAATACAGACCACCGTGCTGCCATTACTTTGATTTCCTTGCATATCGCAATGTCATCTATATACAATATAGACAATGGTGCTGCCAGCATGCTTTCTATAGGAAACGGCCTTAGTTTTCAACTTCCGTTCTAGCCATTGAAGAGGAATCCTCGTAAATACATCGAATGAGTTGCACATAATTAGTGTTGTTAAAATACCGCGAGTCACGAACCCGACTCAAAAATCGAGTCGTTTTTGGACTGTAACTCAAAGTTTGAGTCGTTTTTTCGACCTCGATCTGTATACAAGCCGAAAAAACGACCTCCATCCAAAATATGGGTCGTATTTTTAAAAGACGACCTAAGGTTTGGTTTGATTTTTAATATCTAGTTTATTTTTTTTGACCAAAAGCCGACTAGGGTTGACTCCAATAAATATAAGATATATAAATATAATAATAACATTTAGTAGATATTAATATTATGGGCGGGAAAGTTATTTAAAACTTATTTTAACTATAATGCTCTGACTCACTATATAATCTTCTTGATGGACTGGCAATTGTCATCGCTATTTTTTAAAAAAAATTTGACACAAATTAGTAAAAATATAAATTGTAAACATGTTAAATTAAAATTTCAGTAAAGATGTACCATAGAAAAGTGACAATTATCATAATCGTTATTTTTGAACTTTAATGAATATTTTCAAAGCGAATAGGTAAAAATATTAAAATTTCAGTGAATATCCCATAGAAAAATGACAATTGTCATAATCGTTATTATTATACTTTTTTGTATTTATTTGAAGCAAGTAGATAAAAAATATTGTAAATATGTTAAATCAATATTTCAGTGATGAAGAACCATGGAAATGTGATAATAGCCATGTTAGTAATTTTTTTGAAATATTTTGAAGAAAATAGTTTAGATATAAATTGTAAACATCTTAACTAAAATTTCAATGAAAATGTGCCATAAAAAAGTGACAATGATCATAATTATTTTTAAACTTTATTAAATCAAATGGGTACAAATCTATATTGTAAAACATGTTATATTAAAATTTCAGTGTAGATGAACCCTAGAAATAAACAATTAGTTTAGTTTGCCCTATGAATCTTCATGAGGGCCATTAATCTCATAAATACTTGTTCAAAATCGGAAAGCTGAATTTATTTTTTAGTATTCATTTATCTTTAAAACATGTAGATAACATATAAAAATAAAAAAATGAATATTATATATATATATCAGAGACCTGCAGAGGCACCATTTGCACGGCCCGGCCCGGATTTATAGATTTAAGGCCCGGCCCGGATAAATTAAAAAAAAATTTTTTACGGCCCGGCCCGGATTTAAAAATTTGAGGCCCGGCCCGGATATTTAAAAAAAAATTTCAGGCCCGGCTCGGAATTTTTTAAAATTATATTCGACCTGGTATATACAAAAATTCACCTATGAGGTATTTTACCAAATTTTTCAGCGAGTATTATCGCTTATTATTTAAAAAATACATGAAAAAAGCTAATATTTTGAGAATATTATATTGAATTTATAAAAATTATTAAACTGTTATTTATAAAAATGGATATTTTGAGCATATACTATATTTTTTGCATTTATAAAAATAAAACTAATATTCATAAAAATGGTAATAATATTTTGAGCATATACTATATTTTATATTGCATTTAAAAAAATAAAACTAATATTTAATTTATAAAAATGGAAAATATTTTGAGAATATAATATATTGTATTTAATTTACTATTTAATTTATAAAATAAAAATAAATCGCTATTTAAAAAAATGCATGTATAATAAATAGTATTTTGAAAATATAATCTAATTGCACAATATTAATATAATTTATTTTATAATTTTTAAATATTTTATATTACATTTATAGGTTGGTTTTTCAGGTGTAAAAATTTTTATTAATTTTCATGGATTTACCATCACATTTATGTCTTTTTAGATGTGATGTACCATGTTTATAATTATAAGATAATATACTTGAACAATTCTTACATTGTACTTAGCCAGTGTTTTTTTATTTTCATCTATGATGATGTTAAATTTAGCCCATATTTCAGATTTTAAATTATTATTTGTATTTCTAAAAGAATAAATATTATTTTTAATTTTATTAATTATATCATTAGTATTTTGTGCCATGATATTCCTTTATTTGATTGTTTTGGTAAATATTCTAAAAATTTAGATATGAATTATAAAAAATATATTATTAATACTTGAATATTGGGGCTTATTTAAGATATTCCTTTATTTGATTGTTTTGGTAAAATATATTGTAAAAATTTAGATATGAATTATAAAAAAATATATTAATACTTTGAATAAATTTGCAGGAAATTAATAATTAGATCGATCTGTGGGTGTTAGGTGTGTTAACCATTACCCAATATTATATTAATCATAACTATAATATAATATAATCTTATAACCATTAACTCATAATGTTAAAATTTTTATAAAAAATATTAAGGCCCGGCCTGGGTTTAACAATCTTAGGCCCGGCCCGGATATATTAAAAAAAATTTTTTTAGGCCCGGCCCGGGTATACTTAAAAAATAAAAAATACGGGCCGGGCTTAGGGCCGGGCCTGCAGGTCTCTGATATATATTAAAAGTGAATGTATATTTTAAAAATATCTATGGCTCTAAAAAGAGCTTAAAAAATGTTTCTAAAAAACAGGTATAATTATGTTTAAAAATTTCTAATTGGAGTTTTTGTTTAAGAAAAATTGATTCGCGTTTTTCGTTTGTAATGTTAAAAATTTTACGTGCTAAAATTTTAAAAAAAATATATGTTGATTGTGAGAAATTGCCATTAGTTGAAATGACTATGGGTTGAAAAATAAAGTTATTTAGTATTGAGTATTTATTAATTTTTTTATTTTCCCCGCTAGTAAGAGGGTTTGAATTAATTGATGAGAGAAAGGAAGAGACGAAGGTTGCGTCCCAAATTAGGAATTTCCCATTGGACCATGGAGTGCAGGTTAAACCGTCAGGTCTGAGACCATCTTGTAAAGAGAGGTTTGTTGGTTCTAGGATGTTAGGTATTTTATCCTTATTAAAAGTGTTATGGATGATTTTATTTATAGCTTTATGCCGGAGGTGGCGACCTTGGCTGCGGGAGCAGTTTAGGCAGTGTCTTGCTTTTGGTTGAACGGGTAGGTTGCAAAGGTGGCAAGTGTGTGAATGTGTAAGCAAGCATCCAAGTCTAAATCCTATGGTAACTCTCAGTTGGTCATTGGTTAAGAGATTATCAAGGGTTAGGCTTGGAAGTGCCTCGAGCCATTCATGCCCACCGTATTTATCGTTTAGTTGAAGAAGTTGTATATCGCTGATATCGGAAGTATTATCGAAATCGAAGATATCCAACTCTTTGGCTCCCCACTACTTAATAATAAAATTTAGGAAAAAACTATCGATAAAACCTTCTCCGAGTTGCAAAACTTGGAAAAGTTCATCAATGATATCCCATCGCACTAACTTTTTTATCTATTAAAAAAGTGCCTATATTTACCTAAAATCTCGCACCTCTACCACTCATCCTCCTCATTCACCTCCTCAGGATTTTTCACCCAACATAATATTCGCTTAAAGACCATTATGGAAAGAATCCTTAATCTTCCATTATCAGACTTCAATTGGCACCTTGCTCAATTACCCTATAAACTTGTTAGTATCGACGTGATCCCCTTAGAATTACTCTCCCTATCTCTTTTTATCTCTAATCGCCTTTCGCTCAATTCCGCGATCTCATCTTTCTTACCCCCCAATGATGATCTCTTAACAGTAGCAATCGAAAGATGGAATCTACTAACCCCAGACCGTCAAATATTCCCAACCGAAATTTCTAATAAATCAATCTTGGAACCCCTTATAAAGAAGCTACAAAATAGTTTTAACCCTTCCGATATCAGCGACATTCAACTTCTTCACAACTAAACGATAAATACGGCGGGCATGAATGGCTCGAGGCACTTCCAAGCCTAACCCTTGATAATCTCTTAACCAATGACCAACTGAGAGTTACCATAGGATTTAGACTTGGATGCTCGCTTACACATTCACACACTTGCCACCTTTGCAACCTACCCGTTCAACCAAACGCAAGACACGGCCTAAACTGCTCCCGCAGCCAAGGTCGCCACCTCCGGCATAAAGCTATAAATAAAATCATCCATAACGCTCTTAATAAGGCTAAAATACTTAACATCCTAAAACCAACAAACCTCTCTTTACAAGATGGTCTCAGACCTGACGGTTTAACCTGCACCTTATGGTCCAATGGGAAATCCCTAATTTGGGACGCAACCTGCGTCTCTTCCTTTATATTAAATTAGGGTTTCAAAGCGTGATGTTATAAGGCTTATCGTTATTTTTTCAGAAAAGTAGCGTCCTATATTAACCACTTATTACTATACTTCAAAAATTTTTTTTTAAATATTTTTCACGTATCTCTATTACAGCAAATAAAAAATATGACTAAAATTTTAATATATATTTATTTTTTATTGCATCTTAATAATAATATTTCATAACAACACGCTATGAAACATTTTAAATAAGTATTTATATGAGATTGATGGCCTTCATGAAGATTCATGGGACAAATTAAACTAATTGCATTTTTTTAGTGTTCATCTATAAATTTTAATATAACATGTACAATATAGATTTTTACCCTTTTGATAAAGTTTAAAAATAATTATGATCATTGTCACTTTTTCATGGCACATCATTGAAATTTTAGTTAAGATGTTTACAATTTATATCTAAACTATTTTCTTCAAAATATTTCAAAAAAATTCCAACATCGTCACATTTCCATGGTTCTTCATCACTAAAATATTGTTTTAACATGTTTACAATATATATTTTTTACCTATTTGCTTCAAATAAATTCAAAAAATTATAATAATAATGTTTATAACAATTGTCACTTTTCTATTGGTCATTTTCACTGAAATTTTTATATAACATGTTTACATTATATATTTATAAATATTTGCTTTGAAAAAATTCAAAAATAACGATTATGACAATTGTCACTCTTCTATGGTGCATCTTCAATGCGATTTTAATTTAACATCTTTAAAAAATATATATTTACCAATTTGCTTTGAAAAAATTCAAAAATAACAATTATGACAATTTTCACTTTTCTATAAGTACATATTTACTGAAATTTTAATTTAACATGTTTACGATATATTTTTACCAATTTGCTTTAAAAAAGTTCAAAAATAACGATTATGATCTCACATTTCTTTGGTACATCTTCACCGAAATTTTAATTTAACATGTTTATATATTTTTACTAATTAGAAAAATTTTTAAAAAAATAACGATGACAATTATGAAATATTCATCCTCTAGTTCATATCTCGAGTTGTGAATTAAGTTAGTCGACTAAATAGATTCTGAGTAGGAGTAGAATGAACTCGACTATTTAACAACACTAGTTTCAATCCATTCATACCCCATTTGTGATATATATAAATTCTCGCATGTATAGTTTCGGTCTTATTGGATTTTTAAGGTTAAGGAAGAGAGGATCAAGAACGCTTCGACTGCTCCGATAACTAAAGATCTCATCGATTTTTTCAGCCCGATAATTAGTGACAAACTAAACTTTTTATAAATGCAAATATGAAATATATTTCAAACTTAATATTTATGTTAGTCTCTATTTTAAATGTTTTGTATTATAAATTTATATATTTAGCTCTGATAATTTACTGTTTATTTAATTTGGTATTTATTTCAAAGTATTATATGAATATATATTTCCCACATCATAAATTTTTTAAAGCTTTCATTTTTACCAATTTCATTTTATAATTTTTTATTCAATCAGGCAAAAAAAGGGAGGACTAAATATTGAAGTGAGCTAGCTTCTTCTATATATCCGATATGCATGATTCATTTTTGACAGTGTTAATTTATTTTGCCATTAATTTTTTTCCCTAACATTTAAAGGAAACACGAAATTCTAATAATTTTACTTAATCGTTTAGTAATTTTTTTAATACAGAACAACAAAAGTTTATCTGATCACACGTTTTTAGATGTGACGTAATAGTTTTTATTTTGCTTATTATTTTTTTTGTAGTTGAAAAGCTAGTTGTGAAATTAATAATTACTGATTAGTTACTAATTATTAGCACTATTTATCGCTTTATCCGATCTAACATGATGCCAATTTTGAGATTATTTTCTTTATTTTGACAATAACTTTTTTTAAAAATATTATCTACTAGAACACTGCACAGACCGATCCAAATCGAGTCCGATCTGACCATAGTCAAACTCGATTGGATCCTGGTCTTGATTTAAAAGTTTTTTGAACTGGACTCTTACCTTGATGAAATTTTAAATTATTTGCTAATGATTTTTATGAATATTAATTTTAAGAATAATCACAAAATTATTCATTATCTTTTAAATCTTATAATTTTTCCCATTTTGACAAAATAGTCCAATAAAAAATTCGAATCGGACTTTAAATCTAAAGTAAAATTTCGGGTCGGACATGGATATTTAAAAAAATCTAGGATGGGATCGGCCAAACAACTTTTTTTCTCAGATCGGATCCATTTGTACTGTATCAAATCTATTGAAAATATACCTATAAGCACTAAGCAACATAGATAAATTTCAAATGATTACTTTTAAGTCGATTTATACGTTTAAAATTGGTCATAAGTTTTTTTTTCTTCATACTAGCTACTGTTTAAATAAGCCAGTAATAGCACTTTCAATTTTTCGACCAACTATACGGAGCGAATGATATAATATATATTAAAAATTAACAAAAGAAAAATAATGAATATTGTATAAAAATTCTTAATTTGAATTTGCCATCGGTTGAACTGGCTGGGAAAGGGGGGGGGGGTTTGGAAGCAACCCTCAAAACTAAAATTCCATTAAAAAAATCTAGGCTACGCCAATGTATTAAATACTGCCGATTGAGGTAAAATGTTATACAAATATATATTTTAAATAGAATGGCTATATGTTATTTCTACTAAACGCATTTGTTAATTCGTTTGCGTAAATTACGATTTTCATGATGACAAATAATATAAAAGTTCTTTTCTAGAATAGGGTTGGATCTGAAAAATAAGTGCGATGCAATATAATGGGTATTAAAATATGCAAAATGATATACTATTAATATATAAAAATATTCGTGATGTTTATGAACGAGCCATTTAATTAATTGTCATTATATATTCGAATAAATGCTAGTTATATTTATAATTTGAAAAATAAAAATCTAATTTGATTAAAAATATTATATTTGATATATATTTATTAGAAATGGGAAGAGTTATATACATATGCCAAATTTAAAAATGCTCTTCCCGAAAAAATCAATACCCATATAAAAATTCGACATGATGCAGATATAATTATCGTGGGTAGTGGTGTTATAGGCTCAGTTATGGCTGCAGTATTAGGTAATTTTTTTAAAATAAAAATAACTATTCTATGTATAAATAACATTCATCTTAGAATTTTTAAATTTCTTTCCATCAACTGTAATTTTATATTGATATTTGAATGTATGGTTACAATTTTACAAAATTATATTTCGAAGGGTTTAGTAAATTTAGGGTTATGCCTCATATTGCGATACATAATTTTTTTTATATTTACTTAGCTTTTAAAAAAACTTAAATCTATATCACATGTTTAATTTTGAGGGTTCTGATTTGTTGGTAAAAATCGTGATTTTTTAATATTTTTTTAAAAATTTAAATCGCGATTTTAACCAAACAATAAATATGTAAGTAGAGAGTTGTAGATTTAGATTGAAAAATATCATTATTTTTTAATCTCAATATTATATAACCTTGCAAGTAAAGGGTTTACGTGCTCATAAAACTTGTTATAATTTGCTATTTAACATTGATAATTATTTTTATAGATTAAACATTTTTTTTTAAAAAAATGGTTCTTGAATTATTATTTTGAAACTAAATTTAGAAGGATTAATAATAATTTAATTATTTTCATCAATAAATTGTTTTAAAAAAATATTTGTTATGAAAAATGTATTTTATATTTAATTTGGCTATAATGTTTTAATGCGAAATGGTGCCAACAGTGCTCTTTAAAAAGAATTGGTAGATCGAATTAAAAGTTTTTGACGAAGATTGGAAGTTTTTGCATTCATTTAATTTGCAAAATTTTTTAGTACTATTTGATGATAAAAAAGCAATATTACAGTGAAAAATATGTAATTTTTCAACAACGCAAAAAGGATGTAAACAAAGTGTATTTTCATTTTAATTTATGAATTTGAAAAAATAGGGATAATATATATTTAAACAACCATAATAATTTTTCCAGCTTAAATGAAAGTCAAAACTCGCAATCTTTATCGAGAATTTCAAGATCAAAAGAATATATAAATATTGGAAGAAAGAAATTATGGATAGGCACGAAAATGTTATCGGTACCTTAAAAAGATAGCCCAAAAAATAAAGCTAACTAAAAATATAGGTTGATTCAAAAATAAAGAGTAAGCAACGGGCCAGGTAAAAGAAATGCCCCAGGAGAATTAGATGAAACGGGAATAAATTTGCATATTGTATCAGTTTATATCTGAGCACCAACAATAAAATTTTCATCCGCCAAGAGTAAAAATGTTAGAATATTTTGCATAATTGGAATTGGAAGGGTTCCATTATAAAATAATCGAAGGAACTTATAATGGGGAATTATTCCGCAATTACATGATATAGATAATTTATATCTTACCACTTGATACAATTATTGTAAAATACTACATCTATCGATAGAAGCTAATTTATCGATTCCTGCAAAGGTAAAATTAAATACTTACCATACACGCCTCATTTAAATATCATTGGAACGTTTTTGAAGTCTTCCAAATAAAATATCGTGCAATTAATCCTCGGCTTAATTCAACAAACATAATTGTTGGAAATATTATTCAGCTCTTACATGGATTCATACCTTATGATTTTTCAAACTTCTAAATAACATGCAACAATATATTATGACTTTATATGTTTTTAAATGTATTTATTATTTTATTGAAAATATTATAAGTTATATATCATATTTTAATTGAATACAAAACAGATTACATTTAAGAAATCCTAGAATTTTTCAAATATTAAAAACTTATTATAAAAGTTATTTATATGTAGATTGAGAAAAAAATCTAAAATTTTCGATTTCATCATGGAAAATTTTTTATGCATAAAAAACACAATTGGTTTATCTTAATTATGAAACCTATTTCTTTTAAGTCCAGGGCCCCCTATTTTGGTTTGTTTTAAGTTTGTATATTAAATAAATATTTGTTATATATATATTTTGATACAACAAAACAAAGACGCCTACTCTTTTATGTGAATCTAAATAGTCTTTTTCTTTTTAGACTGTTTAGAAAAAACTATATAGACAGCTAAACAGACATCTGTTTAGAAATAAATAGTGATAGCTTTTACAATTTCAGGGGGCTCAAAAAAATTTTTTACTTATCAATTTCAGGGTGATCTTCAGATTTTTCAGGGGGCTTGAGCCCCTGTGTACTCCCCCCTTCCCTAGTGACGCTACTGGAGATAAGACTAACCAGGATACGGCCAAACAACTTTTACAAAAAGGATTTGTAATTTTAAAAAATTTGATCAAAAGAGCATTCTCAATTTTTTTTTATTTTGAAAATTTAAAATTCTGGTTATAAATGAATAATTCCAATATATTTCTAGATTATAATATTTAAACTTTATGGTATAAGTTTAACTATTTATACCACAATTTTAGTTTCATCATGTTCATACAAATATACTTTGTTTAATTACAACCTTTCATGTTGTTTTGAAAAATGGCATACTTTTCACTGAATCATGATTGTCAACCCTACAGCTGACAAATAAAATAATCGGGTAGACTTAATATATAGTTAAATATCAACTAAAATAATATCTAGATAAAGTCTTAGATACCTTTTATAAAAGTGTATCTGCCACATTTTTGTATTAACAACCCTGAAAATGATTATCTAATTTTTTATATACAAATCTGTGTAAAAGGTTTTTTAAAATTTCTAAAAATTATTATTAACTTTTTTATAACATGTGTTTTCATTAGAATTTACAATTAGCCAAAAAATTAACAATGATAGGGATTGAATCACGATCAAATGCGAGAGTATTGAGGCAAAACAGATGTTAGAGCAAATATTAGTCGATAAGATTTTTTATAGAGCACTAATCTTAAAATTATTGGTTAAAATTCTCAAATGATTTTTTATCTAAAATTATATTGCTGAATATTGTTATTGTATAATACACTTAGGTCGAAAAAATTATAAAGTAATTGTGATTGAACGTGATTTTAAGCAGCCATCGAGAATAGTTGGTGAACTTTTACAGCCTGGAGGAGTTGATGCACTTAAAAAGTTGGAACTTGAAAGTAAACATAATTAAAATTTTCAATATATTTTATTTTTGTGATAATTTGGTAATTTAAAAACTAATGACTTCCTTGAACTTTTGATTTAAGGTTGTTTGGAGGGCATAGATGCACAATCCTCTTATGGTTACACAATCCATCACAATGAAGTCGGTACTAGTGTCAAGTTGCCTTACAATGTAAACGACGTTTCAAATTTAAAAAATGATCGAATTTCATCTTCAAATAATTATGATAATAAGGTAATTGTGGGCAAAGCCTTCCACCATGGAAGATTTATACAAAATTTGAGAAGAGCATCCGACATTTATAACAAGTGTGCCTTTTATCTATCATTTACTTTGTTTAAATAATGAATTGAAGAAAATAATTTTTTTAGTGAATTCCATGACAAATCAACAAACACGATTTTTCACCCGATCCCTTCAGATTTTTCTAAAATTTTTATAAGAGAATATATTATAGCAAAAAATAAAATTTTAGCCTCAAACTCGAAACAGCGGCTGAGTGGAACTCTAAATGTCGAAAAAAGGAGAATTTGGGGCAAAATGTAGTCCTTTTAATTTTAGATATTTTTGGATGTAATTGAACTTGTAGCATTATTTAAATTTATTCTAATGGTAGGCCATTAAAGTTATTATAATGTTAAAAAAATTAAAATGTCAACAAAAATAATCATAAAATCAAATCGGAATTTTTTATATAGATATAGATTAATTAATAAATGTGCAAATTTTCAAGTTGGGCCAAGTTTAGGACATATGGCATTTAAATTATTATTCTATTGCAAATATTCTTTATAAATATTTGATATTAATCAATAACTGTAATTTAAGTCTAAAGCTATCAAATATTTTATGTTAAAAGAATAGTTAAATAAGATCTGGAAAAGTTTACTTTTTTTTTCATATTCCTCATCATATATGCCAATTAATTACAGTGATGTTTAATATTTGATTCTCATATGGACGTTAAACTCTAGCTCTTGCTGACTTTTGGTAATGATCATGGGCTACTATCAAGAAATGCCATTCCGCTGAATCTAAAGTCAAGTTCACATGTCTTAGATTACGAGTTTTTTAAATTCTTATATTGAGTTACTGCACCATCAAAAATAATAACATATTTGATAATTTTTATTTTATATAAATCAAGCATTTTAATTTAAAATAAATTCTAAAAAAATTTATACTTAAATCTGGAATTAATTAAAGCTTATCTTATTCATTTTAAAAAAAATAGGATATCTTTTTTTCCTTTAGGCGTTTCTTCTTAATTGATGTGTCCATTAATGGTATTAAATCAGTTAGATGTTCAAGGATAGCATTGGATGTTATTGGTTGAAACATGTAAATTATTACCACAGACACTGCAAATTTTATCGTTAATTGTTAATGACTTGTTCTGGCTAATTATCCAAGGAAAAAAATTTCTTAGACTTCCCAACATATATGTTTATTCAAATTAGATTAATTGCGAATTTTAAGTAAATATATTACATAATTAGGCTTAAATACAATACAATTAATGATTTATCAAATATTTATTAAGGTTTTTTAAAAACTAATAATTAAAATTCCATATCTCCTAAACTTATGCTCGACCTAACGAAATTTTATATCTTTATTAATTAATCTTATAGCTATACTAAAAAAATTTGAAAGAAAATAAATGCCTATTTGATTTTATGATCATTTCCGGGTTTTGAAATTTAAACTTTTTAAAACATTATTTAACATTAAATAACTGGAGAAGGAAAGAAAACTTTAAAGGCATACCATAGTCTATATAAATAAATTTAAATGACGCGTCTAGCTTCTATCGAAAGATATTAAAATTAAACGAAGTTTATTTTGCCAAAATGCCCCATTTTCTTGACCTTTAGAGGCCCTTATCTCAGCGGCTTTTCCGAGTTTGAAGCGAAAATTATATATTTTTTTAGTTATAATATATAAAAACTAGTAAAAATTTTCGAAAAATCTGGGGATCGGGTTGAAACAAATGTTGATTTAATTTTGAGGAAAATTATTTTTTTTCAAATATAATATTAAACTTAGTCATCGCATATATACTAGTGATCTGCATCGGGCCTAATTTGACAAGCCCGGCCCTGCCCGAAATTTTTTTAAAAAAAAATTACCGGCCTGGCCCGTTATTTAAATATAAAAATTAATTTTTATAATTACCAAAAAAAAGACATATGTTATATGTCGTTTAGTTTCAATAAATATAATCAAATATTTTTATTTTACATAAAAAATTCAATATAAAATTAATAAATGTAGATATATTTTAAAAAATTTTCAAGGTCCGACCCGACTCGGCCCGAATTTTTTAAAAATATTAGGCCCGGCCCGAACCCGATTATTTTAAATAGAATTAGGCCTTTCGGGCCGTACGAGCCGGGCCTAACTTTGCAGATCTCAAATATATACTATGCTCGGGGCCATCCCCTATATAAAATATATATATGGTAATCCTATTAACTCAGATCATGCCTTTGCCCATATATTAACCCCACTAGCTTACCAGATCAAATACTATCAAAATATATATATAAATTATAATTTATATGTTTTGTTTTTGAATTAATAATAATTAGTCTGTATAGAAGTAATAATAAATGGACTGTCGTATCGAATAATAATAAATCTTAAAAAGTGTTTTATTCTTTAAAACCCCAAGTAATTTATACAAGAAAATTATTCTTTTAATATATATGTTTAAATTATCTTATGTTAAAAATCAAACTAAATATTTACTTACATCCCTAAATTGACTAGTTTGGTCCTTACTCTCGTGGATTATTTGACCCAGCTCTATTCTAGTCCTGACTCAGCAATATTGATTCCCATAGATTGTTAAATCATATCCTTTTCCTCAATCTCATTTGGACATCTAATATACCCTCTTTGTTTAATATATTTTTTTCTGTTCTCTTTTGTAATCTATCGTATCATCGTTTTTCCTTATATATTTCCTTCATATCGTAATGGCCTTGGTACTCTTAATAATTCTATTTTTTCTTGATTATTGTAGAGAGACCTTCATGGGCCTTAGTTTTTTGATCAGGCCCGCAGTAAAAAAATTTGTAGGCTCGACCCTGTCCTTATTTAAAAAAATTCTCAGGCCCGTATCCAAAAATGTAATATTTTGTATTCAATGAAAATAAACAATATTTAATTGCAATACTGAAATTTATTATTATTGCAAGAAAAAAAAAGAAATCTTTTTTTAAATTAGCAAGTTTATAATAAACTAAATTTAAATGAAAAAAAATTCAAAGCCCAGGTCCACTAGAAAATATTCATATCTTTTCATTATTTCTAAATGTTGAGTATAGTATTTTAACTTTTACTTGTTCTCTTGTACAAACATTTGTTTTATATCTTCTAGTTAATTTTTTAATAATTTTCTCTAGACTTTCCTCATTTTCTGCCCCAAGGTGTATTTAGGTAATTGCATAGTAAAACAGGTTTTTTAAAATTATTTATGCAATGTTTAAACGTTTTTGCCACTTTTTGTTATACCATTGATTTGCATGCATTCATTTGTAAATCTTAATCTTGTTTTGGACCAAGCCAGTATTTGCTTACTTTATATATAATCGAAATATTAATGCTTTTCATCTTAAAAAATATAGCTAATTTAACCTGGAATATACGATTTAGTTCCTGATTGTTATGATAAACATGACATAAATTCAAAAAATAGCAAATCATTTGATGGCGCCGCTAATATGAGCAGTGAATTTAAAGGATTGCAAGCTGATATTAAGCAAGAAGTTCTTAACAGTGTGTATATATGGTATAGTCATATCCTTAATTTATGTATAATTCCTGCAGTTGTCTTGAGGCTATTGAATTTATTTAGACTCCTTAATAGACTTGCAACATTTTTTGGAGAATCCCTATAAAGGTATGCAATCATGGGAGAATAGAAATAATCCTGTAGGCCAGAAAAAATTACGAAGTAGGGGAAACAATATGGTAGTCTCGAGAAAAAATTGGCACATAGGTATATGGAAAAGATTCCTTGATGGCTATTGCAATAAGCGCCTTACAATATATTATGGTTCACTCTTCCGAGACAAAATTGTAAAATTATTAAAATTTAAAATATTAACGGTACACATTTTTTTAAAATATTAACGGTACACATTTTTGAAATGAACGGGCCATTATCGCGCTATCTTCAAACAAAAAATATTGATATTCTTACTATTTCGATTTAAAGATATAAAATCAAATATTCTGATCAAGTATTACCTGAAAATATTGTCATGGAATGTGAAAAACCATTTCACAGAATTGGTATTACAAAAAGAATATATTCAGATGAATATAAAGACGAAGACCTAATAACTATTGATCTTGATAGAATTTACTATAATAAACCAAATAATTAATAGTTGAGAGATTTTCTGAAAAAAAATCTTCATCGGTGATATACAATATTTTCATTCAACAAAAATCAGCATTTATTAATAATGCCGGGCATCAAACAAGCACTAGACACAATCAAATTAATGAAAATCCTCAATCATGAATTACGACAATTGACTAATTCATATGTATGACCTTCTGCATAGTTATGATCTCATTATTAATGCACTAACTTATATATAGCGTATCATATGTATTTATCACTTTATTTTGTTGTTAGAAAAAGCGATTATAATTATTCTTTGCTCGCTGCGTTGAAACTCTCTTATCTAGCATGCAATCTACCGACCGCACCCTATTCTCTTCCTTGCTCAATGGTACGGGACATGAGTTTCTTGAGGCCATCCCATCTACCAATCTTCAGCTTCAACTATCCAACAATGAATTTACCCATGCCATCGGCATTCGTCTAAATTGTTCCATCACTCACCCCCACATCTGCTCAGGGTGCAACTCGCCAGTTGACTCGAAGGGTAGACATAGTTTACATTGTCGCTCCTGCAATGGACGATTCATCAGACACAAGCAATGTAATACAATCATCCAACATGCTCTGAAATCCGCCCAAATTCCTTCCACGTTAGAACCACAAGGTCTTTTTAGATCTGACGGTAAACGTCCTGATGGGATCTCTCAAATCCCATGGAGGAGAGGCCAACTTTTGGTATGGGACTATTCCTGTATTGACCCCTTGGCCCCATCCAACCACGCCATCAACATCCTTGACCAGAAGGAACAACTTAAAATTTCTAAATACACAGAAATAATAAACGATCATTGCTTCATCCCAATCATATCAACCACTCTTGGCACCTTCGGCAAACTCGCCTTAGCATTTTTCAAAAACTTAGGATCACAAATCAGCAAACTCTCAGAAGAACCACGAGAGGGTTTTTTTCTTCGTCAACGATTATCCATAGCGATTCACAAAGCTAATTATATCAGTTTCAATGGTAGCCTTCTAGCCAAAGAGCTATCATAGACAACGCTTACGTCCCTTTTTCATTTTTGTTTCCCAGCGTCACACCATCTCCGTTCTTTTTTTTAATAGTATTATTATATATTTTTCAAACATTTTTAAATATATTAAAATTTATTATAATGAAAATTTAAATTATTATACCTTATATTGATAATAAACTATATAATAAACATTTAATTTTTTTTCTTTTGATCTTTTATAATTATTCTGTATTTTTAATATTCGTTAAAAATCAAACTATTTTACATCAAAATTATCCCAAAATATACAATCAAATTATCATTTTAGGATATATTTGCAAAAATTCCGAAAATATAATAAAAATATTAAGATTAATCCTTAAAAATTAAACTAAATATTTGCATACTATGATACATACCAAAATTATAAAAAAATTAATTTAAAAAAAGCTTATCACAAAATATGTGAATTGATTTAATCATATATTATATGACCAAGAATAGTTGCCCATCCGATCACCCTTTTGTTTTTTATCATTTTTATTCAGTGTACGAAAAATAGAGGGAGAAGCTTTGAAATTTTTATGGGATAATAAAAACAATGGACAATCTCGAGTACTAGGCGTGGAATATAAGGGAAAAATGGATGGAGAAACTAAGGTTAATAAATTAATTTTTGAAGCTTCTAAAAAATATATTTAAGCAAATAAGAGCACCCTTAACTATTGTTGTTGACGGATGTTTTTCGAAATTTCGCAAGTATCTCTTTCCTCCTGGTGCACTATCTACACCTCAAATTAAATCGTATTTTTTAGGATTATTGATTCCTAACACGAATTGCTCAAAAAAAGAAGAATTAGATGAGATTTCTCAACATAAAAATGAGGATAAATATTTTGCTGAGGTTGTATTGGCCAACGACCCTGCCTCTGTCATACTTATTTATAAGGTAATTTCATAGATATAAAGATGTTTTATTTTACTTTTACATTTATAAATATAATAGATATCATCTTATTACACTAGAATATTAATCGATATTCCTTGTCCTTTGCCAAAGGATATAAAACAATTCCTTAAATACGATATAACTATTCAATTGCCAGGTTTAAAATTAGTAATTTAAATTTTTTTTCAAAATTCTTCGAAATTGCATTAAATTTAAGATAAATATTTATTATTGTTATATACGTCATATGCTATAAAAATATTTACTTATCAGAAAAATACCGCGAGAATTTTTTGCTTGCGCTCCTTTATAACGAGAGCGTTAAAACGGATCCCGACGAAACTTTCAACAAACTGACTGCCTTTCGGAACAAGAATTTGGCTGCTGATGCTTTTAAAATGAAAATCATGCCTAACTCGTATTTGAGTTACCCAGCTTTAGGTGGGACCCGCTCCTTACCCAGTGGAGTTATATCCTTAGGAGATGCTTTAAATATGCGCCACCCTCTCACGGGAGGTGGCATGACCGTCGCTCTCAACGATGCAATATATTGGATCGATAAGATTTGCCATCTCGGGCCACCTCGAAACGGCAAAAAAGGTATAAAAATTTTAATATATTAATTTTTTGAGCATCGTAATGATATATTTACTTTACTTGAATTTAGGGCATAAATTGGTGACTTATTGAAAAATTGTTAGAGTATCTTGGCCGGAAAGCCGGTATGGTCTAATTACATTTTTGTTAAAAATGAGAAAATCTAGTTTGGAAATTATACTCATTATTTTCAAGAATTATGAATATAAAAAAATTAAATCTAAAAAAGAAATAAAAAAAATTCAAAAAGAGTGGCTGAAAGAGGTGATGAAACGAAGAAACGACATTCAAACCTGTCTAAATTGGATATCGTTGGGACCAAGATCTTAGCCCAACTTGGACATTTGTCCAATTTTCAATTCTTTTTATTAATGAGTACAATTATATGTGTAGTTAGCAGCAATATGTTATTTTTTAAACTTTAAATCATTTTTTGAGCGTGTTTTTTTTTAAATGTAATCGGAACGTATTCCATCACGTTTATAATAACTATCTAGGAATTGTAGACAATTTTGTCGTTAACCTTTGAGTTATTTTTTAATTTATATAAAAAATCTATCAAAAAATTAATATAAATAAAAGTTCAAAAGTTCATGGAAAAATTGTCTGAAATTCATAGGATAGGTTTCAAACATGATGGAATAGATTTCCTTAAAAATTTAAGCCCTTAAAAAAATTTTTAAAGTTGAAAAAATAATACATTGCCAAACATAATAAACTTATACAAAATAAGAATGTATAAAATTATTGTAAAAATGGTTGTATACAAAATGTGAATGAAAATATTTATTTAATTTATGAATTAAGATGCTATCTTAGCTTGTTTATTTGGTACAATATGTTTTATTTTCATGGAGTTTGATAATGTCTTATTTGGATTTTGAATATTGTGAACAATTCCTTTAGAAATATTAAACCTTTCAGCATAATCTTGCTGATTTAGAGATCTAATAACCTAATTTATTTGGATTAATGATTACTCGTTATATTTGTTTTCTTCCTAAATTTTGTTATGAATATTTTTAAAAAGATGATAAAATTTTATAATATTAATGAATGAATTCAACAAAAATGCAATCTATTCACTTTTCTAAGTATACAATTGCCCAATGTATCAAGGCATTTTCTAATAATAGTTTATAGGAGAATTTAATTGGCGCTCAAATTTTGGTCAAAGGGAAATTATTAACAACCCAAATTAGACAGGTTTGATTGTAAATAAATAATCTTTTAAAAAAGGTGTGGGTTCATCTAAGAGAGGAGTGAATTCTCAAAAAGCTTGATCAACATGTTTTGGATCTTCTTTCATCCTCATTAAGATCTACGGTGACAGTTTTTTCCATGGCTCTTCATTAATTCTAAAGCTTCATCCACAAACATCAACATTTTGGGCATAAATTGCAGTTTCAAGGTAGGAATATTTGCTTTTTTATGATTGTGGCAGGGCGGGGAAAAGGGTGAATTATTTGAATTAGCCGAGAATGTGGTCCTAGGCTAGGAGCCATTAGACCAAGGTAATTTTCACAGTTAACGCGAAGTTGGGCGAATACAAAATTAATGTAAAATTATTATAATTATATCATATTTATATACTTCGCTGCGAATTCGCGCTAGGTGTGAATGCAGGGTTGAGGCAATTTTTAAACTATGGTTTGAGGTGAGTGACATTGGCATGTGAACCTTTTTTAAAGTTTACAGTAAAATGTTGTTGATTCTTTATAATGGGTGGCCCCCACGAAAATATTTGTAATGTAAAGGATGATGACATTTATTTTCGATTAATTAACTTTTTAGACTATCATTCAGGATAAAGGTTTGCAATGGGCGGGTTTTTAGCCCACAAACCCGCCTGTTCAATATTTTAAAAACATCTAATTCGCCTGCCTATAGTCTTTAAAAAAATATACCCGCCCGCCCAACAGTCTAAAACTCTTTACCATCCCGTCCATTAGTTTAAAAATTTTTACCCGTCCATTATATAAAAATATTTAAACCCATGCCGCCCATAAAATTTAAATAAGCTCATTCTTTTAATTTTTTTAAAATCTAATTTTAAAAAAGATTTAGCTTTAGTGCTTACCCCCCCCCCCCTACAAAAAAGTTTTATAATTTAGGAAATTGCTATATTAAGCAAAAAAATATTCAATTTAAATTACGGATAAGGAATTTATTTGATTTAATAAAATATTTATGTAAAAAATATAAATATTTATTGATATTTTAATTATAAATGCAAAAATAATAATGAATCTACATTTTCTGGATTCACGCACGTTCCTTTTTGTTCTATAAACATTCCAGCAATGTTAATTCCTAAGAAACATTTTAATTTTGATAGCTTCGATAAATCTTTTTCTTGTCGTTTTTACTTAAGTAGGATTTCCGTTTGAAGCATATCCTATACTTAAGTAAGATATTTAAGTGAAACCATTAATAATAAAGTTAATAAAAGTAATTTAAATTAATTGTTTATAAATGGTAATTTAAATTAAACTTAGTAATCTAAAATCTTGCAAATTATGCAAAAACTGGCTACTTGAAGATTTAAATATTTTGTTATGTCATTAGGTAAGGTCCTCTCCTCTGTAACAGTCACATCTTCCCATTTGTTGTTGTTAATTTTGACATGGATACTATCTATTTCAAACATTACATTTATAATTTTATACCTTTAATTGAATTCTATTTGCTTTTGGAGAAACGGGTAAAATCAAATTTTCATCCACGTTGATATTATATTCCATGCAAATACATTTTCGATATCAACACATCCTCAGATATCGATTGCTATTAAAAATGTTGAAATTTCATGGGCCATTTTTTTAAATATTTACCTAAATGATTTTAAATAACAAATAAAAGTTGTAAATTTTTAACTCGCCCGACCGCCCGCCCGTTCTTTAAAAAATTTAATCTGGATGGGCGGGCGGGCTAAAAACCCGCCCAATGCAGACCTCTAATTTAGGATATCTACAGGTTTAAAGGGGAATGGTATATTAGCCTTTTTTAAGCTTTAATGTTGATGGCTACAAGAATATTTGCAATAGAGAGGATGATAATAGCCTTTATTGTTAATTATTTTACGACAGCCAACCTTTTAGATTATGTTACAGTCTAGGCGGCTTATGATAATATTCTAAATGGTTCTGCCAAGAGGAGTAACCCAAGGGAGTTCAGTATTGCCTCAAGACACTTATAGCCAGTTTTATCTTTAATAATTATTGAGTTGGAATGGTGACCGTTCGGATCAGGCAAAAAGTGGAGAATTCTAATCTCCCTATGTGTATGAGGTTGGTCTGATATGAGATGGTGGACAGTTGATTGAGGAATTAATGGGAGGAAAGATTATATGAAATGAAGACCGATATAGATAGATACAAGGAAGAGTGAATACCAATCTCACCGGATATAGGCAAAGTGGCTCGTAGCCAGGCGAACGTCAATAACTAAGTTTAGAAGCGATTCCAATAGATTTTAATTTTCATGCGAAGTTTGAAACTCCAGAGGATCTCATAGCATAGAGAATCTTAAGGAAAATGTTTAGTAATAAAAAGCTTGAACATAGAGCGCCTTTAATAAATGTAAGATGTTGATTAAAGTGTTGACTTAAATAATTAAATAAAACAAAGTATTAAAAATACGAAATATTTAAAAAAAATAAAAGTTATCATTAAATAGTTTTATTTAATTTTATCTTTAAATATATATTTATTTTATAAAGACTTGTTTCTACAGATTTTGTTGAAATATTTTTACTTATTTTTTACCGTAGAGATTTTTCCGCAGTTTCTTTGGTTCAGCTTATTTCATTTATGTTATATTTTTTATTATTATTTATAATAGATAACTATGAAGAAAATGCCGAAGTAGACGATGATCAATGGTTAATCGAAGCCAGAAAAAATTTTTCCTGTCAAAGATCTTTAAATTATTCTTTTGCTGTTAATGTGTTGGCTCAAGCATTATATCAGTTGTATGCCTCTGGAACTGATAGTATAAATTATCTAAATATTTATATGTTCTACATTTTAAGCTTATTTTAAGTACAATCGTTTGTAATCTAATTAAAGGGAGAAGGGCTGTCTTTTTATATTCCATTATTAGTAATTTAGATACTGAAAATTATTTAGTTTCAGTAGTATTTTTTATAGCAACTTTAAAACGGCTTTGCCAAGTTAATCTCGATTTTTAAGTTGAGGCTCAACCTAGAAATTTGAATATATTTTTTAGGCTAAAAGTTTGGCTGTCGGTCGTAGAGCTGACCAAAACATGGTTTATCACATCAATAACAGCCAGGGAACGCTCCGCCCCCAATAATATTTTAAAATAATTAATAATTATAAAAATTGATGTTAAATGCTGCTGTAAACTTTTAGGCTTTTCAAAATATTTAAATGATTTCTATAAAAAATTGTACTTTATCTATAATTCAGTTAAGATAGATATAAATATGTTTAAATTATATTTATGACCACCTATTCACCGAGAGTATTTGACTCCAAAAAATGTTATTTATAAGGTTTTTCGTTCAAAAAAGGAAAAGTCCTAGTCAAAAATGGAAAGATGTTAATTATTTAAATTTTTAGTTTTTTTTCTTATATTCTAACTTTTTGCGATCTCTTAAACTCATTTTTCATCTATATTTTTCTTAATCTTTCTTACTTTTTTTTTTCTTCTCTTGATCATTCTTTTAAAAAAATTTATTTATCTTCCCTGTCAATTTTTTTCACTTCTCTGTTTTTATTTCATTTTTAACAATTCTTTCCTTTTTTTTCATCATACATAATAATTTTTTGATTATTTTTTCTCCTTATATTTTTATTTTTTAAAACGCGTTAAAAAAGGATAGAATCTTAAATTATAGCCTCATATTTTAAAATAAGCTATAAAACTGTGACAAATATAAAATACCTTAAAAATAGAATAAATAGCTTACTTAAAGGAGATGCACGCAGTAAATTTAAAATTTAGATTGTACTTTATCATTAAAAAGTTATATGAAATGATAAAGAGAGATATGATATAGAAATATCAAAAAATATGATATTTAATGTCTAGATTTAGGCATAGTTTTAAAGGGTATTACTACGTTCAGTTAAAGAACATACGATCAAATATTAAGATTTGCAAAGAATATCCATATTGCTTTGTCGATATAGGCTATATGAAAGAAAAATTAATTTTTATCGGAAATCCTAATAATAAGGAGAAATTAATTCTCTTTATAAAGCCTGGAGAAAGAATATCCAAGGAGAATATAAAGAATTATTTTAGATATATGGAGACCTATTTTCCAAATAGAATAGTTGAATTAATGATTAATATAAATTTTTGTTTCTTACTATACATACATCGTAACTATAATGAAATAATTTGATATATTGTCGGTCTAGAATTGGAGTGCTCCACTTGCGCAAATGTTTAAAATGAATCAACATTTAAAATAAAATATAGGAAAAAGTTATTGATCAATTTTGACAATAACTGACAAAAATTAATATTTTTTAATCTAGTTTTTATTTTTATATATGTCGTATGGATATTCGAAATCTCTTGATCTTAAATCCTTTACAGAGGGCGATTTAAAAAATTTAAAAATCCGATTTAACCGGAAATGTATTCTAGCATGTGTAGAGTATTTACCCTATAAATTTCAACCATACACATTTTAGTATTTTTTAATTTATATGAAAAATCCATATAAAAATTAATATAAATTAGAAGTATTTCTAAAGTTCATGGTAAAATTGGCTGAAATTTATAGGTTAAATACTCTACACATGCTGAATACATTTCAGGTTATTTCGGATTTTAAAATTTTTTAAATCTCCTTCGGTAAAAGATTTTAAATCAAAAGATTCCGAATCCCCTTACGACATATTTTGGGAATAACTAAGTTATTATCCACTTCTAACTCAAAAATTTTGAAAATGTAGAGTGGAGCACTCCAATTCTAGACCGATGATATAAGAATTATTAATATTAAAAAAAATTTGATTGCCAAAGAGAAACAAAAATTAAGTTACAATTAAAAAATAAAAATATAAGGAGAATTAAAAAGGAAAGAATGTTAAAAATGAATAAGTGAAGAAAAATGGTAAGGAAAATAAATAAATTATTTTTAAAAATACATCAAAAATGAAAGGGAAAGATAAGAAGGAAAAAAATCTTTTTTGAATGGGAATTTTCCTTTGTTGATTGGCACTTTTCCTTTTTTTTGATCATATTTTTCCTATGTCTTTGGGATTTTTCTATTTTTTAATGACACTTCCTCTTTTAATTGGACCATTTCCTTTTTTGTTTTACACTTCTTTTTTGATTGAACTTTTTCCTAAGCCTTTGGAACTTTTACTTTTTGATCGCACCTTTTCCTTTTATGATTGACGCTTTTCCTCTTTTGATTGGGACTTTTCTTTTTTTGAATGGAAAACCTTGTATGAATAAATGTGTTGATATAGTAATTATCTGCATCATTGTTAATTTTTAATATTGAACGGTATCGACCTAACTTTTGACAGGAGATATCCCTGTACAAAGAAATATAATATTTTTTAATGCACCCATATGATTCGCAAAGATGATTTTTGATAAAAAAGAAAGATTGATTTATTTGAGGAAATCGTGATTTTTAGATTTAAATCAAAAATAATAGAAAAAGTTATTAATTAAACATTTTATCCGTATCATTTTATTATATTAACTATTTGTTTATATAAAAATCTCACTAGCAAAATCGTATAATGGTTAGTACAAATGCGCAGTCAAAAAATTTAAGAAAATTATATAGTTAAAAAATTTTTTTTTACCTTCTAAACCGAATAACTCCTAGGCAGCGATCCTGGTCACGGCACCACTATAAAAACCCATTTCTTTCACCCTTAATTTTATTTACTCAATTTAAATACTACCCGAAATTGCGTACCTCAAAGACGTTTAAAGCTATATCGAAATAGATAAAATTATAAGACGAGAACTTCTTTTTTATTTAATAAAAACATACAATAATCATTTTCCAAAATAAATTTACCAAAAATTTAATAATAATATATCACCTCTTTCTATGTTATATAAACTGTATATAAAAAAAACACCACGTGATTATATGATTGACGTGTTATAATATAAAAATATATATCTATAAACTATGGTTACATCTAATTATCATGAAGATAGGACAGTTTACCTGTGAAATATATTAATTATTGTTGAAGCAATATACCAAATTTTGATACAATATAATTAAAAAATTATTTTTATATAAATGTTAAATTATTTTAATAATTCTTTTTATTAATCCTTGAGAGCATTACTGGGGTCTAAATAGATCCTTAGGGTTTAAAAAACGTTTGTTTGGATTTTTAAGTAGTTTATTAATTTTGCCTAAACATGCATGAAAAATAGGGGGAACTTTTTCAGATAAGGGATTTTTAATCAGCCTAAACAACATACATGAAAATATATTTAATTTTGCTGAGTGTTTTTTGAGATATCAAAGGTTTTAAATCAATTTTAATCAGCCTTATTTTGGAAAAATGCTATCATTTTTGTATATATATATATTTTGTGGTTCGAACTTTTATGTTAGTGATAAAATCAGAACCGAAAGAATAAATATTTTTAAGCCCTGCCCTGATTTTATGGAAATTTTTACTCATCCCGGAATTTTAAAGTGAGCAGCAATAAATACTATTAAAAGTTCCGTTATGTAGTTTTAAACTGATTAATTGCAATTTGTTATTCATTTTTATGAAGGGGCAATTTAATCTGGGTCCGTATTCATCTTGTGAATACTCGTTATTTTTTTTAACTGCTATTCTCTTAGGGTTAATACAAATTTACAAATTATTATATAATCCGCTCTTATTATTTAAGCCAGAGATGTGCCATCATAGCATGCATATATTATATTATCAAATTCAAATATTTTAATAATGACGATTATTAATTTTAATTAATATAATATTAAATATTGTATTCTTATTATTTCTATCACGTTTCAGGGACCTCTTTCAATTAGAATGAAAATTTACATGATGATTATATATGTTGTTAGGATCTATGCAATTTAATCTTTTAAGTCTATTAGTTCCGTAGATATGACGGTTCAAAGCTAAAAATGTAATTTTTTAAAAATAATCTCGGGTGTTTTTTTTCATTTTTGGAAAAGGTAAGAGTTGATTTTTTAATATGTACTTGAATATAAAAATTTCTATATTGTTGTGTTTCAACACTGTTTATAATTTATATTACCCTGTACGAGTTTATCATTTATATTTTTCTCTTTGTTAGTACAATATACGTATATTACCATTTATATTTTTCTTTGTTCACTTATACTGACCCTGTTTATATTTCATCCTCAAAACTGGTTCTAGCCGGTTTTCGAGATGGACATGGATGTAATATATTTTTTTTTATTGTTTGATTGAAAAAAAGGGGACTATATAAAGACCTCGAAAAACGAATTGTAATCATTTAAAATTTTACTTATTTTTTTTATGAATTTGATGTTCTTATGGATTAACTATTAAAATAAAATACGCGTTTCACTAATTCCTGTCCTAGTTACTGGGATTCTATGACGATGGTAATATCCAAATCCGGTCACCCTGTCCCCATTATCGACCATCCCGGACCCTCGAACCCCGTCAATATCTTCCCTTCTCTGACGGTGGGACCCGTCTGTCCAACTACAACACTGGTGCCCAACGTGCATTCGATACCCTACGATCAAGAGGAGGCCACCGACCAATACATCCTAACGGATGAAAATCTTTTAGCAGTTTTCTTATCTTGTGGTCACTGGTTGTATCCAAAGATAAAATTGGCATATGCCCCAAAATCCATGACAGAGCTATCAAAGCAGGATATCAAGGTTATTCTAGGCAACAATAATAGTAACCAAGGACTAGCAATTGATAAACTTCGCTATCGTATACAACACGATGGGGAAACCATTACCGAATATGCAAATGCTTTGATTACGTTAGCCACGCAATGCAACCTAGTCACCAGCTGGGATCTATTCATGTCATTTTCGGAGCCGGAATTCGAGGCCAAGTAATTACGTCGGATGATTTAACGTTTAAGAGAAAGTTAAAAATAGCCCAAACTTGGGAGAAAGTGGAATCTCTGAGCCAAAACAATTCATGGAACAAAACTCACAATAGCCTTGACAATATAAGCGCAATGTATAACAATACACAATACCTACAACACCAGAATATAATAATTTCACTTGTTACAAGTGTGGTAACCGTGGACATTACCAAATCGCCTACCCACTTAGACAAACATACAATAGTTTACCTGCAACATCCTACTAATCTACTCCCCCGACCCAATGGGCAAACCATAGCGACTCCGAACGAGCAGGCTAAAAATCTACGAGAGGGAACTCGTAAGACCATCGGAAACCCCTCCCCTGGGTAGCAGGATTTAAGGGGGGGGGAATAGAAGTCCAGCAAAACACCGTATTTTTTATCATTATAACCCTTTTTTTCCCCCTTATTGTTTTTTTAATATACTTTATCTTTTTTTATATACCATCCCCCCCTCCCGAGTTTTTTTTATCTTAGTAGGATTAAAATCCGCCATGACACCGCGGTGCGGTAATGCCATTATTTTTGTTAGATGTTTTTATGTGTCTAAGTAAATGAACTTAGGATAAACACCGCTCTAATTCAGCGGTACGGCGTATGCCGTTATTATTATTATTTTTAACTTAGGATTTAAATCCGCCCTGACACCGCGGTGCGGCTATGCCGTTTATTTTGTTAGATGTTTTTATGTGTCTAAGTAAATGAACTTAGGATAAACACCGCTCTAATTCAGCGGTACGGCGTATGCCGTTATTATTATTATTTTTAACTTAGGATTTAAATCCGCCCTGACACCGCGGTGCGGCTATGCTGTTTATTTTGTTAGATGTTTTTATGTGCCTAAGGTAATGAACTTAGGACTGAACACCGCTCTAATTCAGCGGTACGGCGTATGCCGTTCTTTCTTTTTTTTGAGTTGTAAAATGAATTTTTATTTGCAATCTGCCCTGATCCGGCGGTGCGGCGGTAGTAGAAGTTAAGCGGGGAGGAGTGTTGTCTTTCAACACTGTTTATAATTTATATTACCCTTTGTTTGTACTAGTTTTTCATTTATATTTTCCTCTTTGTTTGTACAATATTCGTATATTACCATTTATATTTTTCTTTGTTCACTTATACCGAGCCTGTTTTGATTTCATCAGCCAGTTTTCGAGATGGACGTGGATGAAATTAATATTTTTTTTTATTGTTCGATTGAAAAAAAAGGAGACTATATAAAGACCTCGAAAAACGAATTGTGATCATTAAAAATTTTGCTTATTTTTTTTATGAATTTGATATTCTTATGGTTTAACTATTAATTTCCTGTCCTAGTTACTGGGATTCTATGATGAAAATAATATCCAAATCCGGTTCCCCTGTCTCTATTATTGACCATCCCGGACCCTCGAACCCCGTCAATATCTTCCCTTCCCTGACGGTGGGATCCGTCTGTCCAACTACAACAGTATATGTTTATTAACTCAATATAAATTTATATTAAAAAATTTAGGTTGTGATAACCATTGTTTGTATAGTTAATTAATTTTTTCTAAATTTTTATATGGCGATATGCTAAAAAAAGCACATTATTAATTTTTAAATATAATTTAAACAAAAAAACAATTTGAAATAAAATATCATTATTTAGTTATGTTATGGTACCAGAAATGAAAAAACACCTAAGGCTTTTTTTGGAAAAAAATTATTTATAGTAGAATCTATCCCATCAATTTCATCAAGAATTTTTGTGTATTTTTTTAAACTTGCTAAAAACCCAGATTTGCGAAACCTATCAAATATATAATAGTTGTCATATACAGGATTAAATGGAATTGGGTTCAACGGCAATGTATACAAATGTGCTGGTTAATTAACTATCATTCCCATATTTAAGTTGCTGAAATTTTATTAAAAAAACCAGTGACAAGATAAAGATTTAAATATAAAACAGAACATTGCCATTTTTTCACACAATAATCTAAATTACTTCAAATAAACATTTAGTAAATATAGTAAAAATCCTTCTAGCACCGATATAAAGTGTATTCAGCAGCGTCAAAAACATATTCTTTGATAGAAGGGGATGTTTCACTGATTTAATTATTATTATATTTGTTATTGATTAAAATATTCCAATGCTAAAAAATTTTTCTCTCTAATATATCAGTAGAGAATACATTTTTGGGGGTATTAGAGTTTTGATAGGTTTTAAAAGCGTGGTTTCTAAGTTATTTTCTAAATTCATTTTATAATAAATTGATTTATATATAAAGTTTGATTAAAAACAAATGATCTTTTTGAAATAAATAAATTCTGAAAGAATTGTAAAAACATTTTATTTTTTTCATCTAAAATGTTCTAATTTATTCTCATCCGAGTTCTTATTCGAAAACAACTAAAAATCTTGTATCTAAACAATCCAGTTCAGTAAACTGACTAACCAAAACATATGTTGCAGACTCTGAAAAAATATTTAAAATATATTTAATTTAGAACAGGAATTTATAAATGTTCTTCTTTAATTTCACTGTTAAATTTAATATGTAGTAAATACCTAAAATCGATTGCGTATAATATCCATTTTATTTGCAAAAGAACATATCAAGGAAATGCGAGAAGCTTGTTTCCATTATTTTGAAATGGGTGGTATTTGTATAACTGGTCCTATGGGGATAATTTCGATGTAAGTGAATATTATTTATGATTGCTTATCTTAAATTTTTTTTTTTTGTTTTTAGTACCAACCCAAAACCACACATACTTATTGGCCATTTTTTCGCTGTAGCATTGTACGCTATCTACCGAAACATGTTGAAATCAAAATTTAACATTTTTAATGGTGTTGTGAATTCTTGGATGCTTCTATACAAAGCTTGTAAAATTATATTGCCCCTTATATGGAATGAATTCCACTCTGTACCATTTAGATTTATTATTAATAAATAACTTGTTTTTCAATGTTATTCAACTTTAATTACTTATGATATTTTTTTATGTTTTAAGAAAATTACACTGCCTTATCATTTAAATAGCATTTTAATTTTTAATACATTTTGATTTTCCATCCATGACCTTGATTTTTTTACAAATTATACTTTATATTTGCCAATCTTTATAAAATTTTATATTCATTTTTTGTATTTAACTATTGAAATGTAGTATTTGCTCAATATGTAACATTATATACAAAAATTTCAATAAAAGTTGAACGAACAATCATTGCATTTTAAAAAATTTATTATTTTCAAGTTCAAATTTTTAATTTATGCCATAAAATGATAATTAAAATTTTAAATAAAATTGTTATAAAGTATTTTATATATACATTTTTGATATATAGGTTTTTAATACATATTTTAGTATTGATCTTTTAAAAAAATTCCTAAAAAATATAGAATCTTGTTAGAGATTCCCTGAGATTCGTCAAGTAAAGTTTTCTACATAAATTAAATTATCTACATCATGTTTACTCTATATAATATTTATAAATTTAACAAGATTACAAAAAACACGTTGAATGCCATTAATAATGTTCCTGATATACAGAATTTGATTGATGAGAAAGCTCCTGATTTTGCTTTAATTTTTCCAATTTCGCTTTCAATTTTTTCATCTATTTTTTTGACATTTTCATCAATTGTTTCTTTCTTTTTTTCCGCCTCCTCTATAACCTTTTCTTTGAGGCCCTTAAGTTTAGCTATTTCTTCTTCTGTTCGTGATCCGGGTTCGCAATCATTAATAAGTTCCTCTTTATTGCATCCATCTGATGTGCAGGTTGTGTAACATATTTTTTTAAATTTTCCTTCGGGAGTTCGACCTGTAATGCACTCATCTTTTAAATCTTCTGGGCTGCAGCTTCTTGTAAAAACTGTCACTTTACCTATTTCGCATATAATAAAAGTAGATTAAATTATTAAGATGCACGTTTGAAATATTTATAAAATTGATTCTTCTAGAACTCTTTGTGTCTACTAAGCATATTTAAAGGCTATTTAAAATATTTATATAATTTTGTCTAGATTTTTTTTACAAAACAACATAAGGTTATTTCTAAAACTTGATAAACTTTTAACACATGCAATTTTAATAAATTTTTCCAAAGTACATTAATTTTTGATATATTTTTAACAGGCGAAACCTTGATATTAATAAATATTTAATTTATGTGATATTCAATTCAAAATTTAAGTTAATAAAATATTTTTAAAATGAAATTACCTTGGTTATCTTTTTCTTTGACAGTTATGCAATGATCGTACATTGCGGTAATACATTCTCTTGGCGGTGGTGGATTACATTTACAGTGGGGGTCTGTATCGGTGGAACATTGCACACATTGAAGACTTTTCACTTTAAGAAAAATAAAATAATTCATGAGATTTTAAAACTTTTTTTTCATGATTCAATAGAAATGAATTCTTCATAAAATAAAAATTACGATTTATAAAACAAGACCGCTAATTAATAATTTATAAATGAGATAATATGGTAAATTAAAAAAGCAAAAATACTACAAAAATTAATTATACAGTAAATTTATTAGTTAACAAAAAAAACATAATCAATTTGATAGATCTCACCTTATCGTGTTTTAAAAAAGTTATATAATAAATTTATCATAACTTGAAACCGATTACGACAAATATGTAAACTTAACCATAAAGAGAACGATTAAGATAAAATATGTCAAGGCATTTAATTGACATTGTTATACATATAGCCCTAATTTTATTTTGCTCCAAAACATGTATGTTCAAATTTTGGTTTTAATTTTACAACGAAAATATATTATTGATTTTTCTCATTTGAAATAATTTAAATATCACTATCTAATGTTTTTTTTTAAAAATAAAAATTGGGGTTATTTAAAGAAGTTAAAAGAAAAGCGTAAAATAATATATTGATTTATGGATTTAAGAATAGATTATAGTTTTAAAATCGAGATTGTGATGAGAACTCAAATCTAATATATTATATAAGCTTACCCTATTTTGATATAATTTTGTATTAAAGTAAGTTTTCATAAAATAAACATAATGTTAAAAATTATAGTATATTTTGGTTACATGTGAAAAATTAATGACTTGAGTTATAAGATTTGACTAATCATCAATTAGGCAAGTATGCTTGGTAAATTGTTTATAATAGTATTCTTTCATTAAGTTTTATAGGGGTTCATAGAATCTTGTTTTTAACATTTAAAAACGTACCCTATCTATGTTCATTTTTTGAAATACTTTCCTGGTTTGGCATTATTTTGCAATAAAGGTCGGGCTTAAATTTTTAAATATGATAGCATTATATATTGTCAAATAAATTGATATAGAAATTCTTGCAAGAATAAAGGCGCTTATTTATTTGTTTTATACAATAAAAAAAAATTAAAATTTTGTATAAATAAATTCGAGAATTTTTATTTCGGGTCGGACTTTAAAAATAACTTCGATCGGGATCGGGCCGGACAAATTTTTTAAAAATATTTCGGGGATGCAGATCACCAGTATGCATATTCCTTAAGCCTAGCTATAAAATAAAATGTATCGGAAGTTTATAGCTTATCTAGAAGTCACGCAACTTGTGCAATATATATCTCCTTGGGGTAAAGTTGATCTGGTTATTTTTAAATATTAACACAATATAAAAAGATATTTTTGAGCAAAAGGGAACATTAATAAATAGCTTCAATGTTATGAATATAAATTTAAGAATATTCTAATAGGGGAAGAATAATTGAAATGTACGATGTGCCAAAAAATCATCAAAATGTGTTAGCATAATTTTTTACATTATTATTATACTTAAAAAGTGATGAATAGACAAAATTGCAATATTTTATTCAATTAAACAATATAGTTATGTTTAATTTTTTGACTTACCCTAATGCTAAGCCGCTTTACCTTGGGTGTGGGGTAAAATGGCATTTTACATAATTAATCACAGTTCTTAAAGTATCATAGGTAGAGAGCTAAACGTTTTTTTATTTTATAGATGAGGGAATTGTACATATAAATCTATAATTTTCTCTGTTTAGTTTAAAAATTTTATGGCAAAGCAAAATACTAGTCGTTTTTACCCCTGTCTCCTAAAAAACATTAGATTTGATTCGAAAAATAAATACTCTAGAAACATTTCAAAAATGAAAAATTTATAATACGAATAAATCTTTAAAATTTTTTAATTTTAAAAGATAAAATTTTGAATTCATCTTGAAAGATTTTTTAGGCATGAAAATTTTAAAAGATTTTTTACTAAACATGTTTGAAATTTTAGGTAAAATTTGATCAATCTTTCTTTAAAAAAAAGATTTTCTAACAAATTTTTTTTTCTAAACTCTAGAAATTTTTTTATAAATTTAAAAAGATTTATAGATGTGGAAATAAAGTTTAAAAAAATAAAATGTTCCGTAAGGTGTTATATTTGATTAATTAAATAATAAAGTTTGTAATTATTCTATTCACGGTCATTATAAAATTTGTAATCCGAATTAATGAAGAGTATTAAACATTAATAAATGGCTATTAATGGATATAATTAATAATTGTGAAAATATCGCCATTCAATTCTTATATTTTTGATTAATAACTTTGGAATATATATTTGTTATAAGATATTTGAATATTGTATAATGGAGCCATATTAAGAAATAAACGACAAATTAGTTTAATCAAGGTAAATTATATGTAATGAAAAAATATCTGTAATATTAAGGCTAATATTTAATTAATATTCTATATTTGATTACTTTTTATAAAGAACATTTTAAATATAGATAATTTTAAATATTTGTAAATAAGTTTAAATATTCAATTAGCTTCGAATATTTAGGATAAAAGTCTCTAAAAATTTAAACTACCAATAATACAACCTTTTGGGAGATGTGCCAATTTTGTATTATTAAGGGCTCGAACCGAAAAAAAAAACTAAGAAATAAAGCCATTTTTGGAAAAAACTCAATGATAAATTTGTATGATAGATTTTACTTAACCCTTAAATATGGTCCAATAGACCTATTTTATTTATACTTCCATGTAGTATTGATATTATTTTGTTCAAAAATTCAACCGGTAACATTTCCCAAAATTTCAGTTATTGCCAAAAAGTTTGAGAACAATTACAATTTTTTAAATAGATTTGCAAAAAATTAGCAGATATCAATGAAATTCTTTAAAAAAAAACAGAAAAGCCTAAATAAAAAAATCCTACTGAACGATCTCTTCTTTATAAAAGAGTAAAAAACGAAATACCAGAAAAGCTTAAAAATTCAAAAATGCCCTTATAAATAGTCTTAAAAATATATGAAAATTTAAAAAACCAGAATTGTAAAGGCTTTGCCAAATTGTAAAAGTTAAAAAAATAAAGAGCATGTTTGTAAGATTGGCTAAATATATAAATTTTTATTATAAAATGATAATATTTTATTTATATATGACGTTATTCAATATTTACTGCTTTCCAGTTTTTCTAATTTTACTCCTGAATGATTAATCAATATAAACTTAATAAAAAAATTGACAGGAAAATAGGGAGGTCCATCAAATATTATAAAAGCTCTTAATTTATGAAAATTTTATGTGAAATCTATTAATTTAGAATATTTATTTAATAATTAAATTATTTTACAATATTTCAATAGCATAAAAAAATTTACCTTGACCAATAAGACAAGATAATAATATAGTAGAAATAATGGCAAATATCCTATTGTTTAGAATAGTTGTTCGTAAATATGATTGCTTAAACGTCTTTATTCGTCGTCTCTCATTTGCGTAAATTAAAGATGTAATTTTACAAGTTTCCATAGATGATCTCTATTATAAAAATTGAAAAATTTATATTTTATATGATTATTGCCCCAATACAATTGAAAATAAATTTCTTTTAGTAAATTAGTATAAAATTTTTCAAACAACTTTCATGAAGAACGAAAATATAACTTACTATGTGAATATGCCAAAAAATATAAAATAAACACTTAATTATTTTATTTTTATATTGACAAATTTATGAAATCAAAGATTATTATTTTATTTGACATTAAGAAATTTTACATAATTTTTTATATTTGAAAATATTTCTTTAACCAATGTTATAATATTTTTGTTATCTTTTATTAGATAATAAAAACTGATGAGGATTTTTCAAACATGTGTGGTGGAATAAACTTTAATTAAAAATATGCAAATATTTTTTTATTTATCAATTAAATATAAATAAACTGATAAAATCAAATCAATGAATAATAATAATAGAGTTTAAAAGAAAAGAAAACCAATAATTAAATTTTAATTTATAAGCAAAATTTGCTTCTTTCGTATTTATCCCGAAATAAAAAAAATTATTTATCCGCACGACCCGGCCCTTTATAAATATAGGAAAATTTAATAAAAAAATACAAATAAAAAATATTAGCACCTCTCTTGCAAGTTTTAAATATATCAATTATTTGACAAAACAAATCTGATTTTTTTTAAAAAATATTAGGCCCGACCTAGCTCGATCCCAAAACGGGCCTGGCCGTGATTTGCAGATCTCTAAATTATATAACGTTTTTGGACTAAAAGCTGTTTAACAAAAACATCCGATCCATCTCTTATGGGAAGGGGGGGGGCACTATTATTTATATTTGCGTCATCAATTTTATTGGAGGTCTTTAGGTTCACTTATATTGGGTTTGGCTATGTTATGTTTTTATAAAAATGATTTTGGTATTTCGCCTTTTTTTATAAAAATGTTCCTTTTTAACAATTTTGAATTATTAATAGTCATTATTTTAAAATTATTTTTCTTTCAAATTAGAGCTTATACTATATAGTAGTGTTGTAAACCAAAAAAGAAAAGCTTTAACTGTTATCTTGTGAAAAAGGGAATGTCTTACTCGCTATTCAAAAAATGTAACATGATACTTTACTTAAAATTAGTGGCCCCTACACTTTCTGAGCGAATGAAGCAGAATACCCCCTGAAAAGTACCCCCTTTAAAAGTACCCCCCCCCCTCGAAAAAGTTATAATTATTTTATGACACCCATAAATTTCAAAAATAATTTTTATTGCATCAATTTTTAATATATAATATAAATAAAATGCAAAAAATATATACTTTATAAATATTATTTTTAAATTAATAATTTTAGATAAATTAGGGGAAGAGAAATCTAAAGAATTCATAATTTCATCAATATTTAATTGTTTAATAAATTTGGCCATTTTATAAATATTTCTAAACTTCAACATTTCTTCGAAAATTTGACTTAAATATAAATTTTAAAATTCACAGATATCCTCGATATCTTCTTTAATAATTGATTTTTCTGCCATTCCCTTTGGCGTAAAAAATGATGTTTGATGTAAAATTTCATCGAATTATCATTAAATCTTTCGTTAAACTGCATATGTTGTATTCATTAAAATTTAATAAAGCTAAATTAATATTTATTACTAGTAGAGAGATAATAGGAATTTCTTGTTCTACTTTATCAAATCTCTGCTCTGTGTCTGCCTATAAAAAAATATAGCAGAGATAAAAAATAAGAGTAATTAAATGACCTCAGGCTCACTAATTTCATGATCATTATCAGAATCATCAGATACTATATTTTAACACATTTTCTTTATTATTAGGACACTTTTAAAAGATAATTATATTAATTAAAAATATTTATTATACCAATAGCATTGAATTCCCAATTTTTATTTCTTTTTTCTTAAATTGCGATTTAATACCCTTTATAATAAGATAAGCATAAATAATTAAATATTTAATAAAAAAATTACTTTGCTATTTGTCCAATTTTGAATAACATTTTTAAAAGCTACTATATCAAAGCTTTTCTTTATATCGTTAAAATTAAGCCCACCATGTCTTTTTCTAATGTGATCTATCCATTTATCATCTCTTATATTATGCGATTTGCAATTTTTAATTAGGCATTTGTATTTTCTTTGGTTAATATTTTTAGGCATATTTTAAAATTGGAAAAATAATTTATGACAAGAAATATCGGATAACAACCTAATTTACTAAACATCGACCAAAATTTTCGTCAATATAATTAAATTAAATATTAAGTGGGGCGGAGGGATCTTATTATTACATTTATTTACCAGAAACTTGATCATGATGGATGTAACAAAACAGTAAAAGAATTAAATAATAAAGAAAATTAAAAAAAAAAATTTTTTTTTAATTTTCTTTTAAAAAAACCACTCAAGATTACTGAAAAAGTTGCTTCGGACCCCCCTCCCGTTGTAGAGGCCACTGCTTAAAATACTAAATATTTTAAAAAACTTTATTTTTTTCCCATACATTATAAAAATAAAATTATACAAAAATAATATATTATAAGATAAATACCTTTTTGTAATAATTATATATATTTTTTCAGCATATTGGATTTTCAAAATTTTGATCAGATAAACAAAAGCGCTTAGTGCTCAACACCGATTTCGCGGATACACTTTTAACTGGAAGAAGTGTTGTATTACATTTAATAAACAAAAATTTTAATAGGGGAATTTATAAAATATTTTAAGAATGATCTTTATTTTCAAAACAACTCATTAGATCATCTTCACAGGAATCTTCATTCAGATCTTTGTCTTTTTTTTTTGCCTTTGAGAGAATTTATTCTGAAATCATTTTTTTACGTTCATATATATTTTTTAGATTTGAACTGCTGGACATCTAGATGGAAATATTTGAATTAGGGTGCCATTTAAATTTACAATGTGCAGAGGTAGACTTAGTGCCCATATTTCTTTATTTGCTTAAAAAACGTGTCTTACTAGGGACAGGGTGAGTTAAATTATCTGCATCTAAAGAAATAAGTAGGAGAGACCGAGGTAGGTTGGGACCATAGGCTTAGCCAGGAGAGCAAGGGGAAATCCCTGGTTCAAAAATATGTCACTTTTCGTGAATATCATTTGTTAATAAAAATATCCTCATTGTCCCCCTCCCCACCCCCTATCCCTACAAATGTATGCATATACTTAAAATTCGAAAGAAAGAATGAAAATGTTAATAATTTTATTAACTAAAACTTATACTTAATATTATTTTGGAAAAAATATTAATATACAAAAAAGACAGCTTATTTTTTATACCATCTCTTGTTTGTAGTAAATTAAAAATTGTATTTATAATTGAATGATTTTACATATATTTCAATGAAATAATAATTATATATATGTATTTTTAGAATGTAATATACTATGAATTACTTCATTAGTTAATTATATATGTTTTATAATGATTTTATATGTATATATTATATAATATCTGGTTAAGGTTTAGCTACCTAACATTTATGGAGATATTATCATGATCCTTTTGTATATATTTTTTTCAGTGATTGCATTTTGACTGATGTTTTATGTATTATGTGTGAATAACCCGAAAGAATCATTAACCAATTAAATAAATTGGTAACCAATTTTGTACATTTTAAATAATGATAATAAGTTATTTTTATTAAAATAATATTTTCTAGGACCCGCCAAAAGGGGGACTAGAGGGTTATTAATTCCCCTTCTCTCTTAGGAATATTCTGGCTACCCATATAATTGGATCAACCCTGAATAATTTCAATAATATTAAACGAATCTGAACATCTATTTAATCATCAAAGTACAGGTTATTTAATATATATTTTATAGAAATTATACATTTTTATAAAATTTTAATTAGAAAGAATTTTTTTTAGCCCAGCCTTGCTATACTCTGGGTTTTTTGGTCTAACAATAAATGATAATTGGTCCACCAAAGGAATGAGGGTCTAAAAATAAAATAAAATTTATTTTTATATTAGGGGAGACCGGGGTAAAGCGATTGACGGGGTAACAATGTTAACGCGAATAACCTTTTAACCCTTGAGCACAATGATTTTAAATTTGGTGTGAAAATGTATTTTTATATCTAATTTCTTACCTATGTTCATCTTTTAAAAAACTTTTCTGGTTTTATATATTTTGTCAAAAAATTGTTTTTTACCCAAAAAATATAAAAATCATTCTCTAGTATATTTTGCTTTTAGTAAAATATACATATCCTCAGGATTCAAAATTTGGCACACATGTTCATTAATGTATTAGCTATAAAATAAAATTTATCTGACATCTATAGCTATATTAGAAGTCACGCAATAACGATATTTATAATATATGTCACCTTGGGGTAAAGCTGTTATGGGTAAAACGGTTAAAATATATAATTATTCACATTAAATTTTTCTTTCATTCATTTATTATAATTTTTATTGTATCAATCAAATAATGAGAAATTATAAAAGAAAAACAACATTCAGAGATGTAAGTATAATAGATGAAGCCATAAAATATAAAATAACAATAACACTTTATTGAATTTGTCTGCTAAAATATAAAATACCTGATACAACATTGAGAAGAATATATAAAAATGGTATTTAAAGTTCAGATCATAAACAAATAATTACAAATTAAGAAGAATCTAGATTGGTCATTTATGGGATTAACGCCTAGACATAATTAAATTATATTGTTTGTATTTGAATTGAGTATTAATTAATAAATATATTATATATTTCAATTGAGCATTACTAATAAAGCTACCAAATTAATATTGAAATTTGAAATTATTTATTCAGAGAAAAAAAAAGATATCAAAAAAGAATTGTTTATGTGTCATTTGCAATCAAAACTACAAAAATAGATGAATGGTTAAAATGTACAATGTGCCTTGAATGGGCGCATTCTAAATGTGCTAATTATGATAACTACTTTACATGTCCTTATTGTATTGATTAGTTTGTAAATAAAAATCATAAATATATCTTAAATTTGTAATATTTGTTAAATAAAACGATAAATATATGTCAAATATTATTTTAACCACTTTACCCTAATGCTTATCCATTTTACCCTGTACCCAGGGTAAAATGGCGAAAATGAGTAGTTTGACATAACTAATCATAACTCCTAAAATATTATAGGTAGAGGGCTACTCTTTTTTTTATCTAGTAGATAAGGAATGGGGCTATACATTGAACTATAATTTGTTGTGTTTGACTTTTGTTTAAAATTTTTTTGATAAATATGCAAAATGCCTATCGTTTTACCCCGGTCTCCCCTACTATAATCAGAGATCTGCAGAGGTATCATTTGCACGTCCCGGCTCGAATTTTTTTTAAATATATTTTTTTTTTGGCCCGGCTTTGTTTTATATTTTTAGGTCCAGCCGGGTGGGTATTTTTTTAAAGTATATTAAATTTATTTTTATTTTTATTTATAGCTAGCAATTTAAAATATTCAGTTTTAGAATATACGCCCACCCGCCCGGGTATATTTATAAAAAAAATACGGCCGTGCCCCATTATAATACTAGAGGCAATAAGGATATTAATTTATTGATAAAATCATAATACGCAATAATTAAGTAAATTAAATTGAATTTGTAAATTTTAAGAAATTTTATGAAATAATTAATATTAGATTGATAAATATTCATTGAAAATTATTTGCATTAGTGTTAATCAAAATAAAAAATAAATATGAAATAATTAATAGCCCAGCCCACTAACTTAAAATATCATTCAGAATTATATTAATCCATGTTTTATTATTGTGAAAAATTGTCAGATTAAAAAAATGGGTTTTAACTTTTCCAAAATTTATTTATTAAGATTTTAAATTATTTATTTATAAATCTAAACGATTTGAAATTACTTTATGTTACTTTTGGTATGTTAAACCCTATTTTCCTCTGTAAAAATTAAAATATTAAATATTTTTCAAATCTTCTCTAGCCAATCACGTATGAAGTAATAAAATAGGTATGAACTGCCGACATATTCTTTATAAAATAAATTATTATTAGAGAATATAATTAACATTTCTTGATTGATTCAATATTAATTAGATTAACCATCTTGTGTGTAAAAAATTCAATGACAAAAATAAATAAAAATTACCTTGGTGGTTGATCTAAATTACAAACTCGTTTAAAAATTAAAATAATTATGTAATATAAAATAATATCTATTTTTTCCAAATTTAAAAACACGTTACTGGTTATCTTTTGAAACAAGTGAAGAATAACGTCCCTTTTCCTCTAAAAGGTAATGCCATTAGTAACGACGTTACTTGACAGCTCTAATTTATAGTGATATATTATATATATTGGGGGAGGGATGTTTGGGGTGGGGGTGAAATTTTATTTGCTTAAAGTCATATTAACGAGAACAGACAAATTTTCTATCTGGGAGGAGGGAATTTCCCACTTTCCCGCCCCTTAATTCGGCGCCTGGCATCCGTTAAATAACACCAATCAGTATCTAAATTGAGAAATTATATACTAGGAAGTTGTCTTAAAATTTTCACTCCTATATTTAAAAATAGTAAGCATAATATTTTTACAAGGGTTATAAGAGTAAAATTAATAGTATCTATTACATTTATATGATAATTTATTTTATAAAGTTTACACACGGTCTATGGCCCAGAAAATTTGCAATTTGCATAATACCATTACATTACCGAATAATAAAAAAATTACGGACAAAAATAAAATGTTGAAAGTCATAATAAAATAATATATTTAAAAGCTAGAACCAAAATGAAATTAAATTTTTATAAAGGATTAAATATCAGAGTTAAATATTAGTAATAATTAAAATATAGAAATATTAATATTCATGATTTATATTTAATACATATAAAATAGATAATAAAATAAATATTTTAAGGTTGAGATATATTTTCTAATTCCAAAAAGGTCGGGTCACACATAGCCTGGGTTTAGATCTGAAAAAATTTTATCACTGAGTTTTGGGTGGGTCTGGTCAAAGAAAAAGATACCTTGCAGAGCTCTAGTTTGACAGTACGATTGTTGGAACTTTTTTACAGAAATATTGCAATAATATAATCATTTCTTTCTACCAATATGGAATTATTTTTATACCATATAGTAATGTTAACTAAAGAGGTTATATTAGGGTCGCAACCTAAAAAAAATAAATAAAATTATTTAAACATATGCTTTCAAATAAAAAATTAATTTTTATAATATTTATTTTTTCAATCTAAATTTTATTTTTAAAGTAAGTGTAGGGTTAGTTTTTTGAGCACGGGAGATAAATTACCGAATTATATCCTGAACTGAATGAACTAGGATTTTCCTCAATTTTTGAATTTTTGATATACAACTTTTTTTAATTCATGTTTTAAATTTTAATTTGGTTGACTAATTTTGTTAAATTTATATGATTAAAAGAAAATATATAATTAAAAATTTATTACAAGTTTCAGAAACTCAAAAAGTTTTCTTGGATACGATTTGAATAAATAATAATATTTTTAAAAAAAGTTGCACGATACCCTTCAATTGGAGCAATCTTCTAAAATTTTAAGGAATTAATGGTACTGATGGGTTGAAACTGAACACCCGAACCATGATGCTTACCATTTTTGGGAAGAGTTAGAATTAAATTTAGTGTTGCCAATCAATTTATACGCTTTTAGGACACGGTTAAATTAAGAAAAAATATTGCCTATGCAGAATTTGCTTATAGAAGAAGTTAGAAAGGTTTGACCCTCTTCTTTACCTAAACTAATACAAAAAACTTGATGGTAGATATGATGTAGTTAAGAGTTCAAGTTGCCCCAGAATCTTTAGTACTGAATGAAAACTTCAAAAATACTAATTAATTATTACATCTAATATACACATTTCTTTGAAATTATAGATGTTACTGTAAAATAAAAATAAATCAAAATAGGAGAGATCAGAGTTATATATTACCCAAAAATTTGAAGGGCTATAAAAAAAAATAGGAAAATATTTTTCAAATAATTCAAACGTTTTAATTTTTTGGTAGGGTTGATATTAATAAAGGAAAAATTCTTACATTTTATTCTATAAAATTTTAAAAAAAAGGAAAATTTAAGAAAACATTCTAGATACCTTTTAGTATTTCGCGGTGCGAGGTCTAACGTTGCTTTATTTTTAGACTTTTATTAATCTTATAGAAAAATGTCAGTAATCCATGCAAATAAATGAAATATCAAATATATAAAATGTATCAGGTTATCCATATTACAGTGAAATATGTGTTATTATATTAAAATATATAACAAATGGCGGGGGGGGGGGGGTAAACAAACAAAGATTTTATATTAATTTATAAACTTTTATAGAGGGAAGGTAATTAAATAAGCTTAAACTTCATGTTTTAATATCAAAAAAGAAATTATGTTGAAAATTTTTATAAATCACAATTTTTTAAAAAATTGTTTGATCTTGAAATAACTTAAATTTTTTTTTGTTAATCTTGTCAAATAAAAAAATTAATTCAAAAGATAAAATTGTTGGGAATATTATCCAACTCTTACGTGTATTTATTCATTATGATGACACTGAAGTTGTGTTATCGCAGTCAACTGATTAAATTAATTAGGATTTTATAAGAAATAATCCAAAATGAACGAAATTGTGAAAAAACATGTAATCAAACCATGAGTTATTTATATCACCGATAAAATTTAAATTTGTAAGAAATAATATTCTTTCAAAAATGACCCAAAATTTTCTTATTTCCTACCTTTTCCGACCCACCCCAAAAATATGAAATAATAATTTTCCATCCCACTAATTGGTAGCTTGAGTTTTGGAGATCCTATAATCTTCATAACTAGCGTTTGCAATTGTCCGGTCCCGTCCCTTTTTTCTAAAATGAGAACGGACCGATGGACCGCTAAGTCAAGTGAGACCTGACCGTGGGACCATTCGTACAGTCCGGTCGGTCCGGTCCCATCTAAAAAATTTTTTTTATTAATCTACAAAAGTTTTATTCTGCATTAAATTTATTAAAAATGAAAAGTGTTAAATTACCAATATTTTAATTATGTCATCAAAGCATTTATATTATATTATTCAATACAAATACCTAATATTTCAAAAGAATATTAAAGTAAAAATTTATTGAATATAATTTAAAACAATTTGATTTATATATTTTATTAGTTTTTTGATATATATATAATAAGAGATATTTGGTTATAAAATAAATTATATATAAACAAATATTTTAATTATCTTCTAAAAAATCAAAAATTATTCCATTTTTTATCGATTCAAGTGTCATTATAGATTGAACCATCTTTGGATTCTATTTCGTTTTTTTGTTATTTTATCATTTTTAGATGTACATTAACTAAAAAGCAATTCATAGTATAGTAAACTTTTATCTTCTTTAATCGGTCGTCGGTCAGACCGGACTGTGTTGTCGGATCGAACCGATCCGTGGGACCCAAGAGTCTGATGAGATTGAATAGGACCGGACTATTGGAAGCACTATAAATAACCTAATACACTTATTGAAATCTAAAAAGCCCGCAAGTCGGGTTGGGTAAATTAAAATTATACCAGCAAAATTTGTCCAATATTTCTTACCTGCCGAAGCGAGCCGGGCTTTGCTTTATATTTTAAAAAGGTATCATCATGGAGGTCGAGGAACAAATGGAATAATTTGATATATTTTAATTATATTTTTTATGTATTAATTATTTTATCGAAATTATTATTACGGTTTATAGTATAGATTAAATTTAAGAAGCTCTAAAATATTTTCAAATATTAAAAACTTAATAAGAAAAACAAAGGTAAATAATCTTTAAATTTCATCATGCTAGACTAAAACTTAATCAATTATCTTACTTGAGCATTATCAAAGAAGAACAAAAAAAATTATGATTTTATATCATACTAAATTAAATTATCTTTGCATAAGAAATTTTTGCTCTGCCTTTGTTAGGTCCAATATGTTTATAAATCAAATCAATGAATCTTTATTTACCTCCTTTTATTGTATATTTAATAAAAAAAATATTTCACTGTATATGTGTAGAACTTGTTGCCACTTAGAATAGCGATATAATTTACGGAAAACAAGTAAACTATCTTCATACTATCAGTCGTGACAATAAAGAAACTAGTGGCTTTTGGTATTCATTTAAGTCCCAAAGAGTAAGCGCCAATGTAAATAATATTTAAATATATTTTATTTTCTAATTTATCAAGTTATGAACTCTTATAAACAATTCAGATACTTTTTTCGACAATTTTTAATATATTTTGGAATAAATACGATGTTAAATCCCTCGCATTAATAATAGTGTTGAGGGTTTTCATAGTGGGTTTAAACGTACATTTCTCGCACCCTCTAATATATACTTTATAGATTGAATCAAAAGTAATCAAAATAATAACGAAATAAAGTACAATAAATTATTTATTGGATTGAACCAGCTAAGGAAAATTTAAGATATAAAAAATGATTTAGCGGATTAAATGTTTAATTAATAATTTTAAATATAATCCTAATGATATTATGTTATACTTAGATAGAATCGTAAGATGTTTAAAATCTTAATTATAATATTATTTTTTTTATATTGTATATTATATTATATATAGATATTTCTTATATATACATAAAACCTTACATTATTTATTTTTAAATATCCTCATTTGTGGTATCCCGTCTTTACAGAGAATCTTATAGAGAATGCAAATATAGAGAAACTTTTATAGAAAAAATAATTGTAGAGAATGTCGTTTATAAAGAATATCGTTTATAGAGAATGATTTTATAGAGAAACTTTTAAAGAGAAAACAATTATAGAGAATGTCGTTTATAGAGAATCTCATTTATAGAGAACGTTTATAGAGAATGATTTTATAGAGAATTAGAAACTTTTATATAGATAAACTTTTATATAGAGAAAACAATTATATTTGAATGTCGTTTATAGAGAATCTCGTTTATAGAGAATGATTTTATAGAGAATATTTTACAGAGAATTGTTTTACAGAGAATTATTTTATAGAGAATTGTTTTAGTGCGAATTATTGGTTCCACATCTTTATAGAGAAACCATTATAGAGAATGTATTTTATAGAGAAACATTTATAGAGAAAACAATTCTAGAGAATGCATTTATAGAGAATTGTTTTAAAGAGAATGTAGTTTATAGAGAATGTTTTATAGAGAATGTTTTATATAAAGAATAATTTTTATAAAGAATTAATTTATAGAGAATGATTTTATAGAGAATGCCATTTATAGAGAATGCCGTTTATAGAGAATGGTTTTATAGAGAATGCCGTTTATAGAGAATGGTTTTATAGAGAATGTAATTTATAGAGGATGATTTTAAAGAGAATTATTTTATAGAGAATGTCCTTTATAGAGAATGACTTCAAAGATATTTTAAAGAGAATTACTTTTATAGAGAATTATTTTGTGGAGAATTATATTGTAGAAAATTACATTGTAGAGAATTATTTTGTAGAGAATTATTTGTAGATCTTAATTTTATAGAGAAATATTATATATGGGACAATTATAGAGTTCAAAAATTTTATGCGGGATTTGAAAAAAACACCCCCCCCCCCTTTTAACAGAAAAGTTTGAATAAATAATTAGTCCTAGTGATACGAAGAAATTTAAATATTAATGATAATTATACTTGCTTATAACCAGATCTATCTACCAATAATAAAAGGACACTTAACCATTCAAACAATGTTAAACAGGACCTTTTACCACAGGGTAAGGGGTTATAATTCAAGTTAGACATTGAAGTTAAAAGGGGTAGTTTGTATTTGGAATTCCGTTATGTTTAACAAGTGCAAAAACCTATAAAAAACATTTTAAACTTTTTGATTCATCTTTCTCTAAACTGATAAGGAGTTTACGGCTTGTAATAAGAAATTTTCATTTTACTAAAAACAATTTAGAGAAAAAGGTGTATTATTTTAAATTTTGTCGATGTATAATTTTTAGGTAAGAGTTTGAACTATCATTTTGTATTTTGTAAATTCAGATACAATTATTTTCGGACCTATGATGATTTCGACAGAAATTGATCCAACCACCCCCTAGTGTTCCCTCCTACCATGTGAATATTAGACAGTACTCTAGTGTTCTTAACTTAATTTTGGTAAGGCGATAGTTTGATGGGTATTGTTTTATTTTTTGTTGTTATTTGCATTTAAAATCATTAATTGAGTGCGTTTTTTAAATTTAAAAATCTAATTTTGCAAGTAATGCACCTGAATAAGTGTAACATACCCACCCTTAATGTTGCGCAATCGGTTAATTTTAGGCAATTCCAAAACGGTTAGCCAATTAGGCCAAAAAATCGGCTAAGCATAATTAGGCTTAGCATAAAAATAGGCGAAAACGAATAGTCAAAAATTAGGCATCGGCTAAGGAGCTCGGTTAATCACTCGTCATATATCGTTACTTAATAAATTTATAAAATAATTTTACTAGGCTTAGTGTTGCATAACGCAGACGGGCGATTAGCCTAACTCCCACTCCCTACATTTTGTCTAATTGTTTTAGGCGATTTTTCGGTTAAGACAAATTAGGTTTAGCTGATTTTTAAGCTACTAACATTACTTATAAATTTCAGATTAATGTAAATTAAAATTTCTTCAGAAGTTCAATATAATCTTCTGAAATTTATAGGGTGGGTATTCTACACATATTGGAATGCATTTTCGGCAAAATCAGATTTAAAATTTAATAAAACGCGCTCAATTTATGATTTAAAATGCAAAAAATGGAACAAAATAACCATCAAACTATCGCCCTTACCTTAATTTTTACTAAATTATATAGATTTTCATTATAAATTATTAAATACAAAAAATTTTGGCGAAATCGTATGAAATTCCCAGGGTAGATTCTCTTCGGAATAGATTTGGTAAAATCAGATTTATCAGGGAAATTATAAACGCGAACTATAAATCAGAGACCTACAGGCCCTTTAAATCCGGCCCGGATACACGGACTGGGCTGTATTTTAATTTTTTTAAATATACTCGGGCCGAGCCTAAAATTTTATTTTTTTAATTACACGGGCCGGGTCAAATAAGCTTTTTTTTTAAAAACTCGGGCCAGGCCATATATTTTAAAACCAAATATTTTAAATCACCATTATTATCTAGGCAAAAATATATAATATATTTTTAAAAAATCGGGGCCGGGCCATGCATATTAAAATAATGCACATAGCAACTAAATATTGACAAAATTTTCTAAAAAAATTGGCGTAAGGCTGGCTTTGTTGCCAATAGTTTTTTTTTTAAATTGCTACTCTACTAGAAGTTATTAAGATTATTACTAACTTAGTAATTATTTATTTTTGTGAATAACTTAATTTTTCCAACTTATCTTATTGCTTTCCAAGTGATGGTGTAGGACATTGCTTTTTTGGAAATTTTTCTTAAGCCTACTTTGATGTTTTCCTTTTCTAAATGTATTTGATATTTCGCATCAAATATATATAATAATAAAATATTCTACATTGTAATTAAAAAAAATCTCAAAGCCTCTTATTGAGTAGATTTTCCAGATTAAATATCCTTAGCCTCTTATTGAGTAGATTTTCCAAATAAATATCCTGAAATATATTTTTAATAAATTATATTAGATTAAATCTGGTTTAATAAGTGCCAAAAAAAAAGAATTAGACGGTAAATGGTCATATTTGAGAAAATTTATTTCTAAAATAATTCATTTTCTATAAAATCATTCTCTGTAAAATTCTTCAATATAAAATTATTAATCCTTCCCTATAAAATAATTCGCACTAAAACAATTCTCTGTAAAACAATTCTCTGTAAAACAATTCTCTGCAAAAATATTCTCTATAAAATCATTCTCTATAAAAGAGATTCTCTATAAAATCATTCTCTGTAAATGAGATTCTCTATAAACGACATTCTCTATAATTGTTTTCTCTTTAAAAGTTTCTCTAAAAAATAAATTCTCTATAAAATCATTCTCTATAAACGAGATTCTCTACAAAATCATTCTCTATAAACGAGATTCTCTACAAAATCATTCTCTATAAATGAAATTCTCTATAAACGACATTCTCCATAATTGTTTTCTCTTTAAAAGTTTACAAAATAAATTCTCTATAAAATCATTCTCTATAAACGATATTATTTATAAACGACATTCTCTACAATTGTTTTCTCTATAAAGGTTTCTCTATATTTGCATTCTCTATAAAAGATTCTCTGTAAAGACGGGATACCCGAATTATTTTATAGAGAAGGATTTTATAGAGAATAATTTTATATTGAAGAATTTTATAGAGAATGATTTTATAGAAAATGAATTAAGTATTTTAAAAATAAATTTTCTTAAATATGACCATTTACCGTCTAATTCTTTTTTTTTGGCACTTATTAAACCAGATTTAATCTAATATAATTTATTAAAAATATATTTAAGGATATTTAATTGGAAAATTTACTCAATAAGAGAAGGATATTAATCTGGAAAATCTACTCAATAAGAGGCTTTGAGATTTTTTTTAATTACAATGTAGATATTTTATCATTATATATATTTGATGCGAAATATCAAATAAATTTAGAAAAGAAAAATATCAAAGTAGGCTTAAGAAAAATTTTGAAAAAAGCAGTGTCCTACACCATCACTTGGAAAGCAATAAGATAAGATAAATTAAGGTATTCACAAAAATAAATAATTACTAAGTTAGTAATAATCTTAGTAACTTATTTATTGCATTAATTCTTTATTCAAATTTTCAAATTTTTTCGATCAAATAAAATTAATTCAAAATAGTTCCATAATCCAAAATATATAATTATTATTCATAACAAATGCATATATACATTGTATATAAATATAAATATAAATTTAATAATATAATTTTAAAATATTAAAAATATAATTAAACATTTAAATTAATATTGTGGGACAATGCCCTTAGGTAATCTAACATGAGCCTTGAATAGTAATCTTCGACTATTCTATGCACCCGTTGAGCTCTTTCCCGATTTTGTTTTTTTGAGAGTGGAGTCAATAGTCCCAAAGAATATTGCTCCAATTTATAGCAATTAAGGCTATCATCTTCATCTTTGAGAGCTAAAAATTAAATAAGATTTTTAAAATTTTAAAATATAATATATATTTCATACTTTTGATAAATTTCCAAATGGTTGGATGATGGGAACTTATATGGGAAGAAAAACTTCGGTGCCAACCTTCTACTGCATTGTTGGTATTTGGAGCTCGCATCAGAGCGGAATCATGGCAATTCCATAATGAAATACTAAACAATGTTGATCTCCTATCCATTGCTATCATTTTGCCTATACATGTCTCCTCGAAGTATTCTATCAAAGGTTGGAGAATATCCCGCCTTTCTTGATAGAATTCGGAACCAACTAGCACCTCGAATCCGTGGATTATGTCGTCCACTGGCACATATGCCAGTGATAACATCTTAATTTGCAAAGCAAAATTAAGCTCTGTCATATATGACATACAAATTATTACATTTTTTTGAACGGGGCGCCATATGCATTGAGACATATGGAAGAAACATCCACCCACTTCCCTCATTTCCTATACAACATCAAAATTAGAAAAACAGAATTCCAAATACAAACTACCCCTTTTAATTTCAATGTCAAACTTGAATTATAACCCCTTACCCTATGGTAAAAGTCCTGTTTAACATTGTTTGAATGGTTAAGTGTCCTTTTATTATTGGTAGTCGGTCTATAGATCTGGTTATAAGCAAGAATAATTATCATTAATATTCAAATTTCTTCGTATCATTATGGCTAATTATTTATTCAAACTTTTTTGTTGGGGGAGGGGGGGGGGGGGTGTTTCTTTCAAATCCCGCATAAATTTTTTGAACTCTATAATTGTCCCATATATAATATTTCTCTATAAAATCAAGATCTACAAAATAATTCTCTACAATGTAATTCTCTACAATATAATTCTCTACAATGTAATTCTCTACAATATAATTCTCTACAAAATAATTATCTATAAATGTAATTCTCTTTAAAATCATTCTCTATAAACAACATTCTCTATAAAATCATTCTCTTTAAAGTCATTCTCTATAAAGGACGTTCTCTATAAAATAATTCTCTTTAAAATCATTCTCTATAAATTACATTCTCTATAAAACCATCCTCTATAAACGACATTCTCTATAAAATCATTCTCTATAAATTAATTCTCTATAAAAATTATTCTCTATATAAAACATTCTCTATAAAACATTCTCTATAAAACATTCTCTATAAAACATTCTCTATAAAACATTCTCTATAAAACATTCTCTATAAAACATTCTCTATAAAACATTCTCTATAAAACATTCTCTATAAAACATTCTCTATAAAACATTCTCTATAAAACATTCTCTATAAAACATTCTCTATAAAACATTCTCTATAAAACATTCTCTATAAAACATTCTCTATAAAACATTCTCTATAAAACATTCTCTATAAAACATTCTCTATAAAACATTCTCTATAAAACATTCTCTATAAAACATTCTCTATAAAACATTCTCTATAAAACATTCTCTATAAAACATTCTCTATAAAACATTCTCTATAAAACATTCTCTATAAAACATTCTCTATAAAACATTCTCTATAAAACATTCTCTATAAAACATTCTCTATAAAACATTCTCTATAAAACATTCTCTATAAAACATTCTCTATAAAACATTCTCTATAAAACATTCTCTATAAAACATTCTCTATAAAACATTCTCTATAAAACATTCTCTATAAAACATTCTCTATAAAACATTCTCTATAAAACATTCTCTATAAAACATTCTCTATAAAACATTCTCTATAAAACATTCTCTATAAAACATTCTCTATAAAACATTCTCTATAAAACATTCTCTATAAAACATTCTCTATAAAACATTCTCTATAAAACATTCTCTATAAAACATTCTCTATAAAACATTCTCTATAAAACATTCTCTATAAAACATTCTCTATAAAACATTCTCTATAAAACATTCTCTATAAAACATTCTTTATAAAACATTCTCTATAAAACATTCTCTATAAAACATTCTCTATAAAACATTCTCTATAAAACATTCTCTATAAACTACATTCTCTATAAAATAATTCTCTATAAATATAATTATTTTCTCTATAAATGTTTCTCTATAAAATACATTCTCTATAATGGTTTCTCTATAAAGACGTGGAACCCTCATTTGTCATTTAAATCATTTGTTGCCATTTACTAAATAAAATAATATTCTTTTTGTGATTCTAACTCTGTAATTTGGTATACTTGTTTGAATAGTTGGATTTTTTTGTTTATACTTCATTTTCTAAACGAGGAATCATAATCCTAAAAATTTTGGTTTGATCATTAATTATTTAAGAACTATACCAAACCTACATAATAAAAAGTTGACGCTTAACACGTTCATTGGTGCTTATTAGTATTGGCGCTTATTAACACTCATTGGCACTTATTATTACTCATTGCGACTTATTAATATTCATTGGATTATTAGTCATTGACGCTTATTAGTACTCATTGGGATAAATTAGCATTCTTTGCGGCTTATTGGCTTTCTTAGCGCTTATTGGTGCTCTTAGGCGAAAAACTATTGGCGAAAAGCTTTGCTGGCATATTAATTTTTGTTATTTCATCCTTTTCCCCATGTATCATACATTTTTTAAAAATTTATTCGATGCATGTAGTAATATTATTTATATTCTTATATTTTTATGGTCTTTTTTTAATAATATTACCATTCTATCAAGATAATGAAAGGGTCTTATATAATCTTATAACATATTATGAAGCGAATTGGATTGGGAAAATTCTTCGTATTGGAGAAAGACAACCACCAAGGTTTGATGCTCTACGGTTAGAATAATCGTTAACCCGAAGCAAAAATTTTAAAATATATTTCTGGTACGCAACCCCCGAGATCAAGAAAGAGGTATCAGGATATGGCTGAAAATATTATATTAATTGTATCTGACTATGTAAATCGCCCGATTAATGATCATTTAAGGGGGATCGCATATAATTTTAATTTACGAATTAAATGTTTTTTTTAATGGCATGTTTTGTATAGTAGTGTATTTATATATTCTATATAAATAAATTAAAAAATTGTGCGTTAATTCATTTTTGATTTATATAATAGAAAAAAATTAGCCTAAGCATAATATTTTTTTAAAAAGGATTAATAGAATTTATGGATTTTTAATAAATCTAAGAGTCAGTTTTAATTTGATTTTTTTTGTAGCTGGGTCTATTTTTAAAAACGGCCGATTTAAATTCTAGCCAAAATAATATGTAAGATTCGAGATAGAGGTCCAAACCTTTCTAAAAATAATTAATAGGAACAACATTCAAAATGATTTCTATTTAATCATCCATATTTTTTAATACTAAGTATTATATAATTGACGCCGCTCCGAATTTTATGCGCCGAATTTTCCTGGCCGAATTGACGTGATACCATTTAAAGTATCGATAATTGTGAAAGTTATTTTATTTTCTTATTGAAATAATACTCAGATGTTTTTTATATACAATTAACCTTTACCGAAAGATATATATTATATACTGATAAATTTTTATAGAGATTATTATTTTACCACAACTTAAATAAATATCTTTAATTCTTTTCTAAGTCGATCCCTAAAATTCCTAAAATCCCTAAACTTATAAATATAATTAATATCTAAGTTTTTGCGTATTTAAATTTAATGCATAAAATAGAATAATAAAATATTTTGAGATTTCCCTATAAGCCTTTTAAAAATTTCAAGCCTCGGTCTGTCCTGGAGCTAAGGCTGCTGGTGGGCTCTAGCCTAAAAGTTCTCTCCAAGCTTATAAGTAAAACAATGTTATAAAGTTCAAGATATGAAATATTTTATTATTCCTTAGTATATATATTTAATATTTTTCATAAACCAACTTATTTTTTTATTTCTTTTGTACATTGTTTTATTAGTAATGTTGCAAAATAGAAAAATAAAGAGTTCTTGGCCTAACCTATCACCTATATCTTGAAGTTTTAACCAAAATTTATCTGAACTTTGAAAGAAACCTATTTTTTAAACTCGTACCCCTACATATTTCTTTCGGGACATGCCTTAAGTTAGAGCCAATTTTGCAACACTATTTATTGATCTATAATCCCTAGCAAGCAATCTCCTAGGAATGTGCATAGATATTATAGTAGGATCTCAGAGATGTGAGAAGTCATAGACGCCATGCTTGGCGGAAATTCTCTTTTCATATTTATTAGTGTTCATTTCAAATTGTAAGACTAGAGTATTTTTAATCTACGAGTTGAGATCATTAATTATTAGAGCTTATGATTTTTGAAAATTAGGCAGTTATCACATTTAGTTACATTGGAATATATTTAAAAGGCGGGCTTATACAAAGACTTCTTAAACGGCTCTATTTGAGCCAATTTTCAAAAGCGGCTAACTCAATATTTTAGCCAGAAAAAGGTTGCCTAAGCCTCGATATTTCGCTTTGTTTAACATGCGTCTAGCTTAGGCCTCCGCTATTTTATTTTCATTATCAATAATCACTTTTTTTTGAAATATTTTTTTTTCTACAATTTATATATTAAATATTAAATTTTTGACATATCTAATGAAAGAGAAACATCAGGCTTGAGGATTTAATCTAGAACGGTTATTAGGATGGTCGCACAGGATAAAAATTAGACAGAAAAAAGACACTTTATTAAATTCAATAGTCTTTATTGATTATATTATTATAATATTGACGTTGATGTGATGAATATGGTTATACAAAAAAAAACAAGTGGTGTTCGAAAATGAAAATATATATCAATATATATATATTTAATCGCCTTGAGATGTATTTATATACATGTTAATTTCACTGAATAAAAAGATATATTAACATATTTAAATATACAATTACAACAAATTGAATAAGCGAAATATTTAAGAAATATTTAAATATACAATGAATTACAACAAATTAAGCGAATATGTAACAATATCTAAAATTAGCTAGGATTTTATTAATAATTGAATTTGCTAACTCGCAATGTGAGCCTGAGCTAACAGACCCCCCCCCCCACTCACATACAGCCAAATTTTCTAGAAATGCAAGTTTCATTTAATAAATTCTTAAGATTAATAATATTCGATTTTGATAATAAAAATTTACCAAGTGCACTTCAGACTCTTATCTTATATTGTTAACTTAGATTTCCAATATCAGATGGCCAAATTTATCCAATCCACCTTTAATTCATCAAATGTTTGTATTAAGTAAAATCTACTTTTAAATTTCATATAAATTATATAAAACGGGTTCTAAATTATTGTAGTGAGAGGATATGCAGAAATATATTCAGAAGTGTTAGATCTACAAATGCCTCCCACATGCCCAATGTAAAAAATGTATTCATTTGGGAAATAAAAATAATCCAAACAATTGAAAAATAAGCTTGTTTTTAATTTAAGATCTAAAATAACCAATAGAGATATTAAGATTATTTTTTTTATACTTATATCCTATAATATAATATTTATAAAATCTAGTTTTATTGCCAATTATATTTTAATTGATTCTACAGCACAAGTAACCACGGGTGGGAAGTGTTTTAACTAGTAATATTTTATGGTAATAATTTGAGGTTTCATTTTTAACTATGTTAATTTTTATTACAATGTTCATATTTATTTTGCAGTAAATTAAAATAAAAATGATAGTAATACGAATATTTTCCTTTTAAACATTAAAAATATTAATAATAAATAAAAATTTTGGCAAATTCTTATAATGAGAGAAATTTATAACAATATGCATGAATTATTATTGAATTGTAGGTTTATCCTATATACTAATTAAGGGTGTATTGCGAGGGGCCCTATTAATTTACTCCCCTTCCTTGAATAGGGGCTAAGTCACCCTGCCAAATAATTTTAATATATTTTTTAAAGTTTTAAATTTGTTTCCTTCTCTTTATTATTAATATTAAAGAAATCAAAAAGGAATTTTTTATTCTTTTTTCATATTTTTTTATACCAAGATGACTAGCGCCTTCATTGCAATAGATAGAAGTATTTTATTTTTATTTTATACTAAAATAAAAATTTTGGTGTTTTTCATTTTAATAATTTTTATGGATGCCAAAAAATTAAGGGTTGAAAAATGTTTTTTTGAAAATATAAAATATTATAATTAAAATAAAGGCTAATAAAAACGGAACTGGTTCGAAAAGAAAATGCAATAACAATCGACAGTGATGACTGGTTTTTTTATTTTTTATTTTATTTAAGCGGTGCTTGCTCCACGGATACGGTGGGGCTCTCGACCTATTAAAATATTCTAAAAAATTTTATTATTAACCTATTAATATTTTAAATATCAAATTTTCTTTAAAAAATTTACAACCCTCATCATGTGTACTCTGCCTTATTTACATAAGTATAGAATGAGATTCACCAACAGCAAGAAGTGATTATAAATCATTCGTTGCAATTTTTGAACGAACTCTAAAAATGGAAATCGAATTTTTAAGCGAAAACTATCATCCTATCTTCGATCGAGGTAACTTAACGGATCGCTTAATCTTGAAAAAAATTAACTAAACCTTAGTTAATTTTTTGATTGTTAGGATTGAGCCGTTAACATAACAATAGACAAAAAAATGGTCCAATTATTAAAAGATCTTTAAAATATATAAATGGGAATTTAAAAATTTTAAATAGGTAGGTTGTTAGTTATTATAATTAATTGATCTACTTAGAAAGAAATAATAAATTGTTTTAATTTTTTATCAGGTTCTTCGGTATCCTTTTGTCAGTGTTTTATTGACTGACTGATATTTTAAAAATGAAATCATTAAGATATTCCTAATGAAAAATTTAAAAAATTTCTATGTGAATACTTTATCCTACAATACTGTCGAGCGTGAAGATGTTTTCTTTTATGGATTTAATCATGGTAGATAATCGAGCGAATTAATGAGTAAATAATTTGTCAAATATAATGTTCATAAATATTAATGGACCCAAGCATGGTCTACATGACAGAAAATTCACTGAAGTCAAATCACCCTATAAATACTGTATCCAACCCCTCAAAAAATTCCCCCCAGAGGCGATACTTATAGGCTATTAATTATTAGTATTTATTATTATAATATCCTAAATAGCAAGCTTTTATCTACATTAAATACCTAATGCTATTTATTAATAACAACATTTATAGAAATTAATATAATTGTAATTATAGTAATCAATTTATTATTTATTAAGAATAGTTTTTGTTCTTGTGGTATAATTATTTTTAGAGGTATAGTATGATATATTTTATTAAAATAAATTTCTATTTGGAAGGGAACTTTTTATTTTAAGACTCTGATTGAATGCAAAAATATTGTGGCATTATTTATAAAATAGAATATAAATAAATTTATTCATATTTGCAATAAAAAAAAATCGATTTAACATATATCATATTTTTTTAAATATATGAAAAATTACAGCCCCATCCCTTCTCCCATTCCCGCCAAATTTTTACACCAATGAACTAATTTAACACGTATTCGAATCGAACTATTGGTTATCAAATAGTCTCTTTATTTCGATTGAATAATAAAAAAAATTAATATTCTTTTATTCAAAAATATTAATAAAATCCATTAATATTATTATTGAATGGTATTGCACATAAATGGTTAATTGTTTGATTCCGACTTCGGTGTTATAATAAAAACCATTATCAAGGATGTAAAATGTAAAGTGTATTTCGTATTATCTGTAAATATTCAAAATAGTAATGGGGAAAAAAGTATCGAGGAAAACTTCACTTGTCCTGAAGAAATAAAGCAAATCAAATTATATTTATCTGTCGGATGTTGGCACGCTATAAAATATATTTGTCCAAGTTATCCGGCCGGACCTTAATAATTTTTTTAAAGATTAAATACATTTTTGATCGATTTTTTGCTACTTGTTTTATGTTCATATATAGCTCCATCACGCTTGATTGTTTTATGGAGTAATAATGTTTTACCATATTGTTTCCCTTTAAATAGTAGAACCAAGTTATCGAGTCTTAAACTAAATCATTGACGCAATTTCTTATAAAATGAGATAAGAATTAAATTCGCTCTTTAGAAACAATATTAGATAAAAAATGCCATTTTTCTGAGACAATTAAAGAATTGTATTCCTAATTTCAGTTTTATAATTTCCCAAATGCCACTACCATAAAGTAAGATAAGAATAATAGTGGAATAAAAATTTAATTTGGTAAATATATCGAGTTACCTTGTTTAAATTTATACCTAGATTCTAGACCAACCCTCTGAATTTAGGATTTGATTAATTGTGCTAGATTTTTGGACTCTTCTGAGTTTTTCGATTTAAGTACTATATCGTCGACATATGATAAAACTCTGTTTTTAAATGCTGAATATCGTATGATCCGGTTTCTTCTATTACTTACACAACCAACGTATCTTTGATTACCATTAGGGGAGGGGGGTAGATAATCATTAATTTTGAAAGAGCTTATAAGTTTTCATATTGATTTTTTAAGATATAAATTATATTAGGTTTGATATCATATTCATATTTTCCATAGCCGCGCTATGCTAATGTTGTCGAACGCTTTGGTGAATTCGATGAAGGTGAAGTAAAAAGGTAGTTTGTACTTACAGCATTTCTGGATAATTATTTTTTATGCTAAGATAGGCTCCATTATATTTTTTCCGGTCTTTTTATATAAATATCTAAAGAAAAGATTTGGTGCGGTAAATAGGATCATTTTATTTTTATATAACATGAGTTTTAAAAAATCTCTTAAATCACCGAAAACGTTCCTTTTATATCAAATATACTAGCACCTTTTTCTATGAATAAGAATTATGTGTCTTTTTTTTAAATTTGTGCTTATTCCAGCAAATAGAAATACGTATACTTATATTGTTTTCTATCGGAAAACCCCTTTATTAATTTTGTGCATATATAGACATATATTATAAAGACGCTTATAGGGGAGACCGGGGTAAAGCGATTGACGGGGTAACAATGTTAACGCGAATAACTTTTTAACCATTGAGTATAAAGACCTTAAATTTGGTGTGAAGATGTATTTTTATATCTAATTTCTTACCTATGTTCATCTTTTAAAAAACTTACCTGGTTTTATATATTTTGTCAAAAAACTGTTTTTTACCCAAAAAATATAAAAATCAATCTCTAGTATATTTTGCTTTTAGTAAAATTTACATATCCACAGGATTCAAAATTTGGCACACATGTTCCTTAATGTATTAACTATAAAATAAAATTTATCTGACATCTTTAGCTATATTAGAAGTCACGCAATAACGATATATATAATATATGTCACCTAGGGGTAAAGCTGTTATGGGTAAAACGGTTAAAATATAAAATTATTCACATTAAATTTTTCATTCATTAATTTATTATAATCAAATAAATATTGATATTTAATATTAAAGTTACCAATTGAGCATTATTAAAATTATGAAATTAATTCAATTTATTTAATTAATCATATATCATTTTAACTCTATGGAACTGGTATTGTTAATTATTAAAATGAAATTGTTTTATTTTATAAATAAACAAGATAAGAGGATTTGCATATCAGCTTGCTAAAGAATATGGCAAATCTTTCCCAGAAAGCTGGACAACTAATGGTATGGCTGGAGAGGACTGGTTTATGGGGTTTAGAAAACGACATTCCCAACTTTCGATTCGTACCCCTGAAGCTACTAGTCTAGCAAGAGCATATGGCTTCAATCCCACAAATGTCAATAAATTTTTTGAAAATTTAATTAAGCTATATAATTCTTATAACTTTGAACCACATAATATATGAAATGCAGATAAAAGTGGTTTCACCACCGTTCAAACTCCTGCAAAAATTATAGCAGAAAGAGGAACGTTAGTTACAATATGTTTAGCCATCAATGCTATAGGCCATAGCATTCCACCATTTTTTATTTTTCCAAGAAAACGATACAAAGATCACTTTATTCGTGATGGGCCTATTGGATCTAAGGGTGTGGGAAACGCATCGGGTTGGATGCAAGAGGTAGAATTTTTATCTTTTTTGGATAACTTTAAAAAATATTCTAGTGCATCCAATGAGAAAAATGTCTTATTAATCTTAGATAACCATAGCTCTCATTGTTCAATTTCCGTTATAAACTATTGTCGCTCCAATGGGATTGTTATTCTAACACTTCCACCACATTGCTCGCATAAACTCCAACCATTAGACAAAGCAGTTTATGGGCCATTGAAAAAGTTTTATAATGGAGCTATTGACACATGGATGAGAAATCATGTGGGCAACAATTTCAGATTTATGATATTCCAGGAGTGTTAAAAAATGAAATACCAAGGGCAGTAACACCAAATAATATATTAAATGGGTTGTTAGCATGTGGCATATTTCCTTTAAACCCAAATATATTTACAGAACAAGATTATATCTGCTTTAATAATTCAAATGCTAGCTCAAATATTGAATTTGAAAATAATGATGAAAATATTACAGTGACTCAAAATCTTACAGTGACTCAAAATAATGATAGTGATTTATCTATATTATTGAACGAAAATGTTCCAGATGATATTGATGAACCTTATCATGATATGTTACCATCATGCTCAAAAAATTATAATAAAGTATTCAATCCTTCATCTATAATACCTATTCCAAAATTATTCAATATTTCATCGGATAAAATATCTAAAAAAAAGAATTCAGAAATATTAACATCTACACCTTATAAAAAAAAATTATTAATTCAGAGAAAAAAAAAGATATCAAAAAATAATTGTTTATGTGTTATTTGTAATAAAAACTATAAAAATAGTCGCGAGGGCGATGAATGGCTAAAATGTACAATGTGCCTTGAATGAGCACATTCTAAATGTGCTAATTATGATAATTATTTTACATGTCCTTATTGTATTGATTAGTTTTAAATAAAAATCATAAATAAATCTTAAATTTGTAATATTTGTTAAATAAAACAATAAATATGTGTCAAATATTATTTTAACCACTTTACCCTAGTGCTTAAGGGTAAAATGGCGAAAATGAGTAGTTTTACATAACTAATCATAGCTCCTAAAATATTATAGATAGAGGGCTACACTTTTTTTTATCTTGTAGAAGAGGGATGGGGCTACACATTGATCTATAATTTGTTGTGTTTGACTCTTGTTTAAAATTTTTATGGTAAATATGCAAAATGCCTATCGTTTTACCCCGGTCTCCCCTACTTGTCGCGATTCTTTTTTATTCTTCATTTAAAAATAAATAAAATAATTATGTAAAAGCTTAAAATAATGTTCATTTTAATTTTTCCAGGTATTCTCAAATCTTTATTCTCGAGACTTTTTTCAGTTTTTTATTCTTATTTTTTTTTCTCTCAATTTTTTTTTTAATGTGAATTTTTCCCAAAGTTTTAGAATCAAGTTTATTTTTCACAAGATTCATTCAAAATTATTGTTAAGTATTAAATATATATGTTCCTCTTTTAAATTTTTAATTTTTAACTTCATTGCCAATAATTTTTTACAAAATATAATCAATTTGATTTTTTTTATTTGAAAAAAGTATATTAAAATTTTCGAATCATATTTATATTTTTCATGAGAGTGGCATTTGAATATTCAATTTTAAGCATCAATTTTTTATTATAAATTCCGTACGGCAATTTTAACGTTGTTAAAATCAAATCAAGAATTTTGTTCTTAATTGTTGGAACACAAATTTTATCTTTATTTTTTATATTAAAAATTTAACCACCTGGTTTAATTAAAAACACGTCTAAACACTTTTTTTTTATTTAGAAAAGTCTTATAATAAACTTAATTTATATTTAATAATTACTGTAAATTAGAATTTGATATTAATAAAAAAAATGAACTAAATAGTTGCAAAATAAAATTGTAATAATTAAAAACTGGAAAAAAAATATTCAGAATAAAAGTTTTATAAAAAATAAATATCTATATCACTATAGAGTATTTTAGGTCAAGAATTAATGTTAAATTTTTAATCATGCCTGCATTCCCAATGTGTCAGTAAAAAAGAGGGGTCGATAATTTGTAATAGCTTAGGCAGTTAGTTAGGGATCACTGTATTTAATTAGATAATTCAATTAACAGGACAGCTATATATTTTACAATATCAATAATTAAATGATAAATTTTAAAATAGAAGATTAGGAAGTCATCAATATTTGTTGATAAATTGGATGAAAAATACTGATAGGATAAAAAAAACTGAAGTGCTATCTATTAAAATAACAAAAAGTATAATTCTCAATTTAATGAATTTTATAACCGGAGACATTTTCATATTTTTATTAATGTTTCCATTAGATTTAGTAGTGCATTTTATATTCAATATATCCTGTAAAGATATTATGACATTAAACCAAATATAATTATATAAATACTAGTAAAAATATCTTCCATGAAAAATGGCTGGATTGATTTTCGCCTTCTCCCCCCAATAGGAAGATATAAATGTGGTTGCAATTTTTTAAAATAATAATTTATTATATTAAAGCAATAGCGGGATATAAATATGGTTCTACTTTTTAAGAAAAATTATTGGATGCAAAATTCTAAATTAGTTTGGCATGCTTGGACAATCAAATTTTTTAGTTCACTAAATTCGTAACTAATTTAGTTTAGCTAAAATGAGGTATTATAATATAAACGCTAATAAAATTAAATTACTGGATATATTTAATAATTATATTTAATTTTATTTAAGCCAATAATAAATATAAATCTTTGATACATATTTAAAATAACTCGAATAAGAAAATAAGATTTGTTATATTTATTATTTCCAAAAAATATATTAATTGGAATTTAAAAGACACTAACTTAAAATGATTAACATTGTATTTTATTTTAGATGATATATAAAGGAGGACGAATTGGAGATAAGAAAGGAAAAAAGATAATTCTTACGCGGATTATTATATACATATTAAAATTGATGCAATATAAAATCATGTAATTAATTTATAATTGTATAATTTATAAAATGAAAAATATATAATTAGTATAATTAGTAAACGATTACGAAAAAAAAAATAATAATGACAAAAGGACAATATTGAGTCATAGACCATAAAATAATGTAAAATACAGAATAAATAAAAGCGAAAGCAGCAAAATTATTCAAAACCTCCTTCACCTAATCATCAGGAGAGATCGAATTGATAAAACAAACATAATTAGCCTTAAGAATGGCTATTGCGATCCTCTGCCTTAAGTAAAAACCTTCGCAAGGCTTCCCAGAATTTTTTCTGATTAGGCGGCCAACGTTTTTAAATAAGTTTTTAGTCAAATCACCATATGTAGGTAAGGTGGAGCAAATGATGGTTAATATCAAATTGTGATGCTAAATATGATTATGATAATGAAATTATTGATGAATTCAATGGCCATCTATATACACAACTTATTCTCACTAATTCTTCAGCTGCAGGTATAGATTAATTAAATACTTCCTATTAATTAAGTTCTTATATCCTTTCATATATATTTTATAATAAAGTAATATTAATTGTATCCGAAACTAATTATTCACTCAGACCTCAAGCTTTAAAACTATTAGGCAATTGGGAAACATTACGAAAAATAACTTGCTACCCATACAAGAGATACTATTTATGACAAATAATATCAATTAAAATTTATAGATAAAACTGCATCTCAATCTTATGGATCATTAAGTCCTTCCGACTTAACTTAAAATATTGTTTTCCTTTTTTTTATTAAGTAATTCTTTTTGATATATATATTTTTATTATATTATTGCCATATTTTCTTTTTAGATATAATATCAGTGTATTTATGTAATATTACCTATTTTTTAGATATTATAATGAATGATAATTACTAATTATATTTCCTTAATCTAATAATATAAGATTATATACAAAATAATTAGAAAAATATGATTTATTTCAAAGGGTAGCGCATATAATCTAAAAAAAATATCTCCATTTTAATCATCTTTTGGACTAACTAAGCTAGAGCTTAGATCAGGTCAAGTATGGTTAAGGTTAAAATGGTCACTGGGGTAAGGTTAGTATAGACATTTCAAAAAAATAATATAATAAAATTATATTAAACAGCGAACCACTACCAATATCATTACCCCATAAGATTTACAATCAGATCATGTAGACAACATTTAGCATAAATATAATTCATAATATTCTATTAAATCAATAAAATCTGTGTAAAATAATTTGAAACTAAACATTTAGGTATTCCAATTTATCCAAGTTTGTGTTCCAACCTATCCTAATTTGTTCTAACTGCCCGTGTTATTAGTGACACTAAAATTTAAATATTAAATAAATTAAAAATATTGATTTTTTTAACAAGACATTATGGACTTCCGCTATTTAAGAATACATTCTGGGATTCCGCGATCGTTCAATGGACTTACAAAATTCTCATGATTGCCAATTTTTTTTCCGAATATTTACGATTTTTAGATCTCGCGATTTTAATAAATATAATATACTAAGTTTTTGTTTCCAATACATAATTTGTTAAGTGAAAATTAAAAAATGGATCATTTTTCACGATTTCATATATGGGTTTAAATATCAAGGGTTTCTTCATAAAAGTATCTTCTTATCATCTTTTTTTCTAACGTGGAACTCATAGATTACTTCTTCTTTACTTTTTTAATGTTTTAATTAAATATCTTTTTTTAAAAAAAAGAAATTATTAAATTCTGTGCTGTAAATAATTTTCTAGTCGATTAAAAAAGATCCCAATTGATATCTTAACCGCTTACATATATAAAACTGATGGGAAATGTCTAGACAATGGCCCAAATTCCTTAGTCAAGAGGTCAGCTTCTGGTTTGAGATTTCATCTGCATTTATCTAGAATCATCATCCAACCACAACGTCTGTGAACTCGCCTTTGCAGAAACTTGTAAAATCTCAAATACAGCTCCATCGATATTGCCTGCTCTATTCTTACCACTCTCGGCAATAAAGCGCAATGCTTTATAAAAGAATTAGTGAGACAGATTTGTGAAAAGACTGATCAGCCTAATAAATTATTATTTTTTACGGCAAAGGCTTGCTACCGCTATTATTCGTTCTAACTACCTTAGTTTTATTTCTTTCATCGAATAATTTTCCATGCCTCCTTAACTTATTTCCTTCTCCTTCCTAGTTTCTCTTTACTATCTTCATTTTTATACATCAATTTGAATTTTTTTCCTCTTTTTATAATTTTATATTTATCATCTTAATTAATTTTGTCTTCAAAAAAATAATTATATGCTTTTCCTTTTTTTATAATACAATATATTTATTTAAATAAAAAACATATGAAAGGAAAAAATTTATTAGATTGCATATGATGAGCATGAGTGAATATATTAATTAAATTCAACCAAGCGGTGCGTGATTTTTATCCTCGTGAGTAGGTGGTGTAGAGTGTGAAATCCTTATCCCCTGAAATTTATATGGAAACAAATGGCGCGTACTCGGCCCTATAGCCACAAGGAGGGGTTGACTACCCACTCGAAAATTATTCAGCTCCAAAGCATGACCTCAAAATTATGGAAAAATAAGCCCCTAAAAATATACTATCTCAACTGTAGACTCCCCTCAACTGAAACTTCCTGCTTACTGACCTGTGCCTATTCCTCCTGCTAAATTATAATGTCCTTTGTAAATATAAAATAAAAGGAAATATGCGATGATGTTATTTTATTTCATAAAATGGATAACCGAAAGAATAAATCCTATATTAACACAGAAGTTTCCTTCTGAGGCAGTCTTCTTTTTTATTTATTTTAATTAGTGTCATAGATAATAAGCTATTACTTCAATGATATGACAGATGATTAAAAACTGGTATATATAAATCGCCAATAGATATCAATCATATTTAGTATTTTTTTATAGGAATATTCATATACATGGATATTATTATACCAATACACATTTAGTGAAGACGTGCTATAGTACCCGAAGTTGGAATTAAATTCGCGACTAATTACCAACGGAGCATTTGTCGCAGCAGCTTAGTGCTATGCTCTCACAGCAGCTTAGCTTTCACTCACGTGTAAATTTTATTGTTATATTTATCTACAAAGTGGTCTTTTTTGTATAAATAGATACGTTTAATGTATCAATCAATTGCTAATCAAAAGATCAATCCACAGGAGGCCAACCCCCCTCCTCCCCCTTAATGGACGTATCTTGATGAGGGATCAGTAATATTTCTAATCACACAAAATATTCATATAGGTAGAGGCTAATTTAACTATCTTTTGACTGAAAGTGTACACTCTTGGCCTTAATTGGTTGAACTTGATATTGATATGGATGGTGATGGGAGGGAGTGTAAAAATAAAATTTTGATATGGGTATCAATTTAAAGTTTGAGTGTAAGGAAATAAATTCTAATTCACCGTCATTCCGATGTGCTATGTGCTCGTTTACAATATTTATCAATAAACTCTTAAAAAATCTATATATTATCTTGTTCACAAAAGCTTAAACAATGTGTCATTATGATCTGATAACCTCGATGAAGTAGTTTACAGTTAATCATCATTTTCTGTCAATAATAAGCCCTATATTAGTTTTTGATCTTCTTTCCAATCAAGAATTTCAGCGACCAGTCAAAAAGAACGATGTTATAAATATATAATAAGATTATTTTTATAAGACATATCTGAAAAAGTTTATGTATCTTATAAGACTTATTCTATTTTGCAATATAGTCATCTCATAATATTATAACCATCAATTAATTAAGACACTCTTTATTATATTATAAAGCATTACATATGATCTTAACATTTATACATGAAAATGAACACAGCAAATCTTATAGATCTTCGCATCATATATAAAATCATGATGGGATTGATGAATCACATCCTAACGTATTACAATCCCCCTCTTTTAAAATTTAAATCCATAGTCTTGTTCATATCTTTGAGGTCGTCTCATAATCTTCATCATTGTATTTTTAAAGTGATCTCATATTAATCCTCATCGATTATCTCTATTCGTCTTCATAGTATTAACAAAGTGGTAATATCTTTTTATCATGCTACTGATTCCAATCATTCTTCTTTGGTCATATTTAATATATCAGAATCCTCATTTTATTTGCTATATTCATAAAAAATTTTGTAATTAAATGCATCAGTGTAGTGTAATGCAACTATTTCTCAATCATTTTTATATTATATTTATCACAATTTCATTATAATTAATATTCACTGGTATTTAAATTTTTCCCAATATATTATTTTTATAATCACTGATATTTATATTTTTTATAGGAATATAATATATAATATACACTTATATTTATCATAAGACTATTATATTTAATGTCAAACAATATTTATATTTTCCACATTCTTTTTTTACACCAGTTTCCAAATATAATCTTTAATATTTGCTTTGCCATCCATTATAATTACTCTTATCAATCCAATAATCCAATATCAATTTTCATATTGTTACTACAATTCAATAAATTTTTAATTATTATATTTGTTTTTAATTTTTAAATGGTATAATTGAAGGGAAAAGAAGTTTCATAAGTCAATATTTAATATTTTAAAAATTATTATTTTTAGGGAGAAAGAGGGCCTATGACATCTTTTTAACTAATTCCCTCAACACCCCAACATCTCAATTAAAGTTACTTCCTATTCACCAAACCTTTTCCTACTAAACAACATCCTCAAGATCCTTAAAATTCTATATGCTATGAAATTCTCACCCATTTTAAAAAATGAGGATATTCAGGCCTCAACTTAAAATTTAAGGTCTATTGGAATCGCTTCTTAACTTAAGATTCTCGACTTCCGCCTGCTACAAGTTATTTTCCCATATAAATCCGAAATAATTGGCATCCAATCACCGCTCTGCCTATCTATGGTCTTCACTTCATCTAATCTTTCCCCCCTATGAATTTTTCAATCTCTAACCGCTCATCCCAGACGACGTCCTAACCTTAGTCCTTGAAACATGGGACACAAATTACCAACTCCATATCCTACCAACCTCCCACACACAAAAAACTGGGATTCTTGTTGCCTGTTCCGTTGATTATCAAATTATGAATAGCCACCATGAAGTCAATCCCAACTTAATTGTTATTAAAGCCAAAACTGGTGAATGGCTAGAGACAATACCCCACTTCAACCTTGCGATGCTCTTCTCGGCAGTATATCTAAAATCTATAACGCACTCCGTCCAGGCTATAACACAGTAAATCTAAATGTGCTTACAGTAGTAATATAATAGACAATATGTGGGCATCGCCCACTACATTACAAATATTTCCATTCAACATGCCGATAGTCACCAATACCTAAGAGATCGTTATGGA